TACCATGGGCCCTCTATCAGCTGACAACAGAACAAGATTGAAAGGAAATGAAATTTTGTGCCATTTCAGAAAAAAGATATCTTACCATACAAACAGTTTTCCTTCTTTTGGATATAACTTATGTCATAAACAAAATAATTTACACCAGATTTGTCATTGCTGCTGCAAAATTAGGAACTGTATACATGTACAATCAAATTATATAACATTTCGTTTACATTAATTCTATGCATAGAAAAATGGCGGCTATTTTGGAAGGTGAAAACTTGTGGACTTACACAAAAATATGGATAAAAGAACAATCAAGACATCTAGACTACCGACATACGGTAAGTTCAAAAAAATCATTTTGTTCTACATAGCATTTTCTTTATGTTTAGGTGACAAAGAAATAAAATGAAGAAAGGTGCAGATAAGGTTGACGATTTGCCCATAACAACTCACCCCATTTTAGTGACGATTCGCCTCACTTTAATGACGAATCGCCTCACCAAGAAAATACCAGATTTATATGATGCGTGTACATGTGCATTATGAGGATATCTTCCCAGCATCCACATCAGTTGAATTATGGCCAGATTTCAACGTTGAAATAAGGTTGGATTTATATTCGGATTTGAAAGTTTAAACAACGTTGAAATTTCAACGTTGATACAACGTTGCAGCTTCAACGTTGGCACAACGTTGAAGTTTCAATGTCATTTAAACGTTGGAAACCCACCATGCTTTAATTTTTGGATATAAAGCAAAGTAATCAAGTTTAACAAAATATCAAGACAATATTAGATACTTCAGATATTTTATTTCAAAAATACAGTTCAAGTGCAGCTTAAATAGTTTAACAATTAAGCTACAATCTGTTCCAATCTTTTCTTTTAGATCTTTCTGGGTATGTCAAGTGTTTCATGATTGTGTTTGAGTACTTCTTTGGCTGTCTCTTACTGCTTCTGCAATTAAAAATAAGAAGTTTGTAGTTTAAAGTGACTTGGTCAATCTCAAATTTTACATATAATTTCTCATTTTAATAGTGATTTGTTTTATCTTTAAATGCTTATCTCTAAGATTTAAAATCATAAAACAGCATAGAAATTGAAACATAGCTAAGTTTCATATTGACAGCAAATACTGTACATAAAACAACAAAATCTTTTAAAAAAGAAGCTATTTAAAAGTTTCACCTATGATTAGTAAGAAAAACTGCTCCCCGTCAGTTACTTGCAGCATATTCCGAAGAAATTATCATTCTAGGCTCTAGCTTAGACCATTTTATGCAGCATCCTGAAATCAACAAACAGGTAAATTTTATATTGATAATGTTACAGGAATATTCTGAAAATAATATATTTTAAGACAAGATAAATATCTAGTAGTTGAAAAATTTATACTTTGTATTGTAAAGAAATTCAAATATATAAATTAATAAGAATTAATTTCAATTTAACAAACCTGACAGTCCTTTTCATGTTGAATGTATGGTATACAGGCTACAGCTGCAATACTCTAAATTTCAGCCATGACCAGGATCTAGAGTATAACATAATATATAATAAAATAGAAATAGATTATTATTCCCTATAAATTAACGACAATTAAATTTTAAAGTTTAACACTCAACTTTGTTATTTAACTTCTTAATTATGTATTTTTTTCAAACTTATTAACACTGTATTGTACTATCACTAAAATATAAACAAACATGTAGTTATATTGACGAATCGTCTTGGAACGTAAATTATGTGGGCCGAACAACTTTATAGGTTTCAATTTTATAATTGATTAAATTTTAATTAGGATATAGTACAGAAAAATGTTTAATAATATGAAAAATAAATTAAAGAAAGACAAGATTTGTAAAATCATAAATTGCCAAGGACATCAATAACTTCGTGTTTACAAGGCCTACAGTACTGAACCCAAATCATTCAATTAGGTCGCGAAAACGTGTCAAATCAACTAAGTCATGTTTTTTTCATCTCTCATATATTTCTTAAAGTAAATTAAAGTAGAATTTTAAAAATAAATAATTACAATTTAGAAAATAATCAGTAAACTAAAGTAAAACATTACGGTAATACCCCCGAAATCCAAATAAATTGCCGAATCGTGTTGTTTTCAAATTTTGAAACAGCGCCACCATTTGCACGAACGATAATCATAGACAAACAAACAAAATCAAAGACCGCAACAATTACTTCCCCTGACCAGCGTTAATTATTTTTTAATTAAAATTATTCATAAAGAACTAAAAAATAAAACAACAACAACAAAAAATATTATCTAATATTTGAAGCGTTAATAGAAAGTGAAAAAATATTTCCAACTTTATTGTTTGAGCGCTAATTTTGAATATTCGGAAAAAAATTGTTACGCAAATTTTCCTGACAAAAATCACTTACAGACAAATTCAATAAAGAAATAATAACACAAAATAAGTGGTATAAAGGTTTATATAATGATTAAACTAAATGAATCAACGTTGAATATGCATTGGCAATATATCCGTATGGTCGCCCACAGTTGAATATTGGTTGAACAACGTCACGACCATATTTCAACGTTGTTTCAATGTTGATGTTGAAACAACGTTGTGTGCCTGCTGGGTATGTACAGTCCATTTAAAATACACAAATCTTCATTGTTACACAGCCCATCCGAGCATTTGAATGTGATAAAAACTGATGTTTTTTTTTAATTTAAAGTGGCTTCAGAAGACTATTTTCTTTTACTTAGTTATTTCGTGGAAAACTGTAAAGAGCAGCAAAGAAAGGAAAGAACGTAAAACACAGCAACTCTGATGAGATGATAAAAAGCAGATAGACGGGAAATAATAAAAAGCAGATGGCCTAGTCTTTGATCCAGAGGCGTTGGTTATTAGTAATTGGACGAAATGACAATTATGAGTCTTTGAAGCGTAAGTATAGGACTACATATATATATTTAAATCATTTTAAAAATGACAATGTGCTTTTTAAATATTAAGTAAATGATGAATAATAATACTTCTCAATCTGATTATTGTTTATGTATATAGTTTAATGTAATATATGTATATAATTCAATGCCATGGCCTTTCAAATTCATTTTAAACAACTTTAAATGAAGCAAATGGTAAAAACATGTGGGCATAAAACACAATATTTATTCATTTCTCTGTTGAAAATGAAATGAACATACTCCCGTTTGTGTTATGAATAAATCTATATCTATCATCAGACTGTATGGAATATACTGGTTTTTTATTCAATAGAACAGTAAAGTCCAAAGTGGTCGAGTCCTTAAACTTGTGTATTTGATTGAAGTTCAAATTCAGATTGTATTGCAAATAGAACGACAATATATTGTCCTTTTTTGCAGAGTGATATGTCAGAAGTCTGATTTTAAATGTTGATGTTTTATTTATTAATATGAGAATTTTCTTTTCTATTTCAGAAAATGTCATTCATTGCTTCAGTAGAGATATTCCAACATTCAATGATTATAGGAATATAATAAACATGTACATAAAAAAGTGTAGCTACAGAGAGATACTGAAGAGGAAAGGCAAAGACGCTTTCAGACTGAAATAAAGTCAAAATATATTGACGTGACGAGCTAGATTCTGAGATATTTTCGTTCTGGGTCAGAACTGTAGGCGAGATATTGTCCAGTCACAAATAGCACAATATCTAACTGAAATAAATCCCTTGTTTCTAAAACTAGAAATATATTCCTACCGCAGAATTATTCCCCTTTTTAGAAGGATTTACTCCAAACTTGAATTTTAAGTTTCCTATCAACTCCCATATCATAATAATATGACAAAATTCGTAAAATTTGCCCTGCCCCAAGAGGTCACGAACATAGCTAAATAATGAAATAGAAAAAACTCATTTTGGAATGTAGAGATATTTATAAAATGATAACAGGTTATTACCTGTTTGATTTGCAGGGATATTTATGAAATGATTTTGGGACATTAAAAGGACATTAATTATGATTTAGAGTTTTTTTAGTGTTATAATGTGGTGGCATAGCATTTTTTCACAAACGTAAATCTTGTTGTATATTCTTGATTTCTCTATTAAGCTTTTGTTTGTAAAAAATAAAAGAAAAATAAATAAAATTTATCAAGACATATTATTATCATTATTTTATTTTTTCTCCGGAATTGACACCATCTTTTAACAATTTATTGGCACCTGCATTTATTAAAAATACATTAGATGAATACAAACAGGCAAAACTGATTTCTTCATTAATTGAGTCATTAATCCATTGAATCTCGGGTTATGGAAGAACAAAGAATACAATTTATTAGTGATTAATTAACAATTTATTTGTAATTCATTAATAATAATTTGGTCAGTGAACTCAATTTATTGCCAATTGATTGACCTAATGTGTTGTCAATTCATAGACTAAGTCGAGAAAAGGACCCAATTCATTACACATTTATTAACCTGCTTTATTAATAATTAATAATCAGTTGATAAATGGACCCAATTCATTACCAATTCATTTAACTGATTTATTTACAATTTATTTATAATGCAGTGGCTCATTTGCATGTCATTTCCTTCTATAATAAATTGTGAATAAATTGTAAATTAATTCATTTATTATACTGATTTATTCCTATCTTCTTCTTTTTTTTTGTTTGGGAACGATTTCATTTTTTGCTTGTTTATGTCTAATTTATTATCTATCATTTCTCATTTGTTTGCTCTATTTTCTATTTCCACTGCAAGTTTAATATTGCAGATCGCTTCCTTGATTGTATGATTTGCGAATTTTGCTCAAAAAGGGGATTTAAAGTCGGGTAACATGGAATGAACCTGTTTTGTAATATGATATGCTCTCTAGTCACGTGTTTTTTTTAAACTCGGTGTAGACTTGTCTCTTTGATACTAGTTTGATAGAATGCTTTGACATGTAAACATATGCTTTAGTACTTAGAATAAAAACTTATATTTTTAATAATGTTATAGTAATAACTGACCATCGGTCATTCAGACAATAGAACATGGTGTAAGAAGTAAAGCAGTAAGGTCCATGTACAATAGTATATATAGTACAAATGTACTATTATCTGAATGACCGATGGTCAGTTATCACCATGACATTATTAAGTACATATATAAATTTTATACTAAGTACTGAAGCATATATTTACAGAAATGTTTATGTGGACATTTATATAAGACAACATAACAGGGTATTTACTCTTAAGGTAAGTGTGCTTGTTTTAATAAAAGTCTGCGTAATGTAGAAGGGTCTGATTTGATTTTTTTTTAACTTTGCGTGATTAAAAAGTATCGTGACTGAATAAATAATATGGTCACCATCCTTCTTTTTGAGTTTTAAGTCTCTGCAATAAACATGCTCATAAAAACAGAATGTTATTGTATCAATCCTACAATATTATAATGTAACATTCATTTTTTTTAAAAAAATAACAGAAGTGCTGTGATGTGCCATTTTAATAATAACAGAAATCTTGAAATGGGTCATTATTAACTATAACAGAGATGTTAAATTGTGCCGTTTTAATTTTATAACAATCATAGGATATCAAGTTAAGAAGCTTTTGCAATTCGACAACTTGATGTATGTTATACTTTTTTTTATCTTTTACGTTATAATTAATATGGGAATGTTGATAAATATTCAGACGATATTTCGGAACTCACCCACAATTGTGATGTACTGAAAAACGAGCGAACGGCTTTTCCGAGATGGACCGGACGGCTAATTTTATGTATTGTTTATGCTATTGTCATCTAATTCATTTAAGTTGTATGTTTTCGAATATAGATCAATGTTATTTCGTGTAGGATCGTTGAAGGTTTCCAATGATCTAAGCTGTTGCAAAAAGACAATTAGATTACCCGGGACAATTTCCCCCTGACGAAATGAACGACGATGTGTTGAATATCGAACTTCCAAACCCTCAAAATAATCTGCATTTTCGTGAAAACGTGACAAGAACATGTCCTCCGTGCAAAAAAATATCTCCTGGAAGATTCCTGAGGTTCGTATTTCGCTCCTTTTCGAAACTATTGGTCCAGCAGCGAAAGGGCAAAAGGTGGAACGAAAATCTCACTGTTGAGCGCAAGGCGATATTAAGTTGGCGTATTAGGAGTGTCGACTAAAAATTCCTATAAATAAAAGCTTTAGAACATAAAATAAACATATTATTATGTGAATTGATAAAGTTTCAACACCTATAGCGTAATTAAACGTAATAGCAAACAAAAACCTTTGTCTGCTGTAGATTCCATATTTATGTTAATTTTGACGTGGTCCCGACATTGAATCATATACATGCCACGATATAGGAAGTCACGTATTCGAGGTCAATGATGATTTTATGTCCATTTAAAAACACGTGTCTGTGCAAAATTCGACAAAATCGGACATGTTTTAGTTCTTCCGGTAACAAATGTTTCTAAACAGGCGCGTGTAAGAGACCACCAAGAGTAGTTTATTTTGCACAAAGAACAAATTCTTATGATGTATTGATACTTCTTTTCTCGTGCATTTTTTCATGAAATCCGAAGTGCAGAGCGTGTCATGTTGGAAGTTTACTATTCAACAAATCGTCGTTCACTTCGCCGGGGGGGGGGGGGATACCCACCCGGATTTAATTTTATTTTCGCAACAGCTTAGATCATTGGAAGTCTTCAACAATACTACGCGGAACTGCATTGATCACTTAAAATAACTCAAATTAATTACAAGACAAAAACATAAACAAAATTTACAATTAGCCGTTAAAATCGATCTTCGGCTCCATCTTAGATATGCCTATTTGTCGATAGAATGTTTTATTTCACAGTGAAAATTATCAAACTATAATTTCACAATTTTCAATGAAGAGACTACTTTTTAAAGATTTTCCCCACGTGTGATAAGTGTCAAACTGAAATGTTTTTGTTTTGTTTTTCATGAAATAAATACTTTTAATTTCTAAGTCCTTTAGAAATGTGTAGAATATTTTCAGTGGTAAAGTTTATCTGATAGAGCATTCATTGACTAAACTAGTCGAAAGTGTAATGATGATTTTGTACATTTAAGTTTGCTTTTTTTCAGATTCACTCTCCGTATAATTATCAATTAAAAATCGAAAGCCCGATAATATTATGATTAAGAAACTTCTTTTGCGATTTCATGATATATTAAAAACTGTGAAATTATGTCAATTCCGAAGCCACGAGGAAATGAAAGAGTAGATGTTTTGGCTAAAGAATCCTTAAATTATCGACCAGTAGATTTAGCGTTACCAGATAATTATTTTAAACCCTCAATAAGTAAATATTTCATCTGAATGGAAAACAAATTGGGACAAAGCTATATTTAACAAACTTCATGATATCAATCCTTATCTTGATAAACCACCATGTAAGTTGTTTTTCTTGTATTTACAAATGGAAATATTAGAGTTATACATTCTAACCTTTTACAGGAGACGATGCTCAATTTTGTATAGCTTTGTAACATTGCACAAAGATCCGACCCCAGAGTGCGATAAACTTCACAGCGCACTTTGAGATCAAGCGCACTTAGGGGTCAAAATCGAGATATTGACCCCAAAGTGCGTTGATATAAAACATATCAACGCACTTTGGGTTCCAGAGTTCTGAAGGTGTCAACTGAGTTCTGCTTATATACTGAGTCCTGACTTATTTTTGATCCGCGACATTGAAATAATTGAGGTGGAGATCAAGAAGACGGTCGATACAAGATACAATGTTCGTTTAAATATCGCTGTGGAATATTACTAAGGGCAAATTCTGTAGTATAATAAAAAGATGTGTTTGATTCTTTAGTAGTAGTAACATGTAACAAAAAAGATGTGTTTGATTCTTAAGTGGTAATTAAATATTAATTTAACCACTTAAATATTCTTTTTTTTTTTAAATGTGACCATATAACAAACTACTGTAGAATACTTTACGGTGACCGGTTGCGGTCATTATAAACACGCATTTTTTATCGTTTTTTCATAAAATGTCGCGGGCAACTTACAAACCCGAAAATCATACAACATGTCGCGGGGAACGTATGGACATTTGTTGGAAACAGCAAGGAACATATGACTCCAGTGGCCGGTAGCGTCCATGTATCCCTCGATTGTCTATAAGAAATTTTACAAAAAGAAGAGGGAAAAATCATAGGCCACGACTTTTTGTTCCTCAACAACGGTCTCATAAAATATTGTGGAATATAGTGGCCGCAATCGGCTGCCTAAAGTAGGCATATGTTTGCGTGACTTAGTCTACTATGTAGACAGAAAATGTCGCGCTTTCTTTCGTAAAACTCGACATTTTACGACAGATATGTAAAGAAAAACTCGATAGTTTCTATAATCCAAGACGTTTTGCGAAATTTCGACATGATATCTCGTGAATTTAAAAGTTGTCCGCGATATCTTATAAACTACAGGTAAAATTTCTCGCGGCTTTAGAATGGACGCTACCGGCCACCATAATTATACTTGAATTGTGAAAGTATTCCTAGAAATAAAAGATGTTTCAAAAAATATCCTGTTTTGTAATCAATTTACTTGATAACTTTTGGTGTCATATTGAACCTCATTTTAAATATGATGTGGATGTAATTAAAATGCAGTTAATCATCTAACGCATCTCATTTTCTGTATAAATGAATTGTAACAGGTAAGTTAGAAATAAAATTTATCATAATAAAGTTGTGTGATTGCTACAGCTGCAGTTCATTTCAAGCCTTATTCACAATCTTCGATATTCCAAATATGGACCACTATATATCGCTAATGAAAAAGTATATAAAGTCGAAAAATCATTAAAATTCTAGAACAAAGTTAGTAAAACAATTCATCTACATGATCATGACCAGTTAATGCATTACAGTAAATTTTGGTTTCCATCTCGTGTTAATCCTTATGATTTTACGTGTGTCATGTACCATTCATTTTGTTTTTTCGTAATTTTGAATGTCGTCCTGAGACTAAAAATTAAACTGTTTGGAGTAAAATTTAATGTCAACGTTAATTTACAATAAGAGACGGTTTCTATACTTTCTACAACATTCAACATAGAAAGATATAATTAACTAGTTCAGAAATGTTACCTCCCTTTAATACCTAATAATAGGGTAAATCCAGAATTTTAATGGGCCCTCAACATATCCTATCGTAAAGGGAAATGGTTTTTAATTAAATGGAAATATGGGTGACATGCATATTCTCTTCGGCACACAACGCAAGTTCAAGCGTAAAGCTAAAATAATGTGCTATTATCTAATCTTTATCACACACAATACACATCATACTTTCAGACCACTTCCCATGAATATAGAACATAATTTTATTAAATTGCTAATTGCAACCCTAAGATATAACAAAGCTAATTAACCTATCGTCTGCTATTGTTAGCTCGCCTACTTCGTTCCTTATTTTTAATTAACAATTGGCATTAACTACAAGATATTATTTCAAATATCACTTAAACTCTTGGCGGCGTCCGTGGCCGAGTGGTTAAGGTCGTTGACTTCAAACTTCTTGCCCCTCACCGCTGTGGGTTCGAATCCCGACAGGGACTTTGGATTCTTCATGTGAGGAAGCTATCCAGCTAGCTTACGGAACGTCGGTGGTTCTACTCAGGTGCCCGTTCGTGCCTGAAATAATGCACGGAGAGGCACCTGAGGTCTTTCTCCACCAGTAAAGCTGGAACGTCGCCAAAGGACCTATACTTTGTAACCCAAACAAACAAACTTAAATTCTTTCTTACTGGTTAAATTTTTATGACCCCAAAGTGCGGTCGTTCGTCTGATATTAAAAATGCAAATATACATGTTTCACGTACTTTTGGGTCAAACTTTGACACATGTTCGTGATAGAGTTTATGAAGTCAATTCACTAAGACAGCATTTTGCCAGCCATGATCGATATTAAAAGAAAATTAACTTCACTATCTCACATGTACCAAGACATCTTAGGCCTACTTATTTTAGTGTTAATTGGTGCTATGTGGCAAATGATGTGTCAGAGTCGCAAACATTTTGTATGAATATCTAAATATGCACATAAATATTGGAATTACTTTGTAAAGTTTATAACTATTTAATTTTTGTCATTCAGGCATCGGTTGTCAGTTTACGATTTTCTTTTAACGTTTTTACCGGAAGTCATTATTAAGCCTTTTATACGAACAGTGCATGAAAAAGATATGACCCACCTAATAAAATCATTTGACGGAAAAAACATAAATAACCCGACTCATTAGACAAGAGTATTAAAATGTGATAAATTAAAGTCAAAATTATATTCACTTAAATCATGCAGTATTATAATAACCGCGATATTAAGACATTTTTCTGATATAAGTAATACAAGTATTTCATTCACTTCATTAAGATAGAAAATTAATCTTGGTTAAATATTTTTTCTTCCTTTTAGTTTGTCATTGGTTGCATGAGACTATCTCTCAGTCAGATTGGTAATACACGTTTGAACATGTCTCTAATCTTTTGCATAACTTCCTCATTTTTAATTTTAATTAATGTATAGTATAAACTCATTTAGACAGTCTTTTTTAACATTTTCAATGGTTTCTAATTGCGGATTTTGTAAAGAATGGAGGTTTTGATGAATTTCAATTGTACGAAATGACAAATTGGTTAAATACGATAGGTAAATTTAATACTTGCACGAAAGATTATTAATGGCTGTCAACTTTAAAAAAATCAAAATCTGAAATATAACTCCACAAAAGTTGAAGGCATTATCGTAAAGAAATTAAAATTTTATCGGATTGCATGCATTTTATAATGTTCAAGGTTTGATGCGATAATAACGTGTCTTTGTCTTCAGTGTAAATGCAAACTGGCGTTCATTATCCTTTCACGTGATCAAGCTCTTTTTTGTGTACCATAATAATTTTAATATTTTGATATTGAAATTCCTTACAATGCACAAGTTCCATTTCTAGTATGACAATCCTACATACTAATATCAACAAGCTCAGACAAATTTAATAAAAAAATGTCATTCAGACGTTATTTGAGCTCTACAGTTAATAACACCTTTTTTTAAATAAATCAATACATGTTCAGAATCAATTTAGGTAGTTTTCTCTTTTGAAATTGACTTCATTGTAGGAAAAGTAACCTTTCTAAATGGTGCAGTTGAAATGCTCTTATAAACAATTCGTTACAAATAAATACATTTTCGTTACAGATACCGTTATATCTTAGATTTTACATTTCATTTTGCAAATAACATTTTGGAAAATACAGTTTCATCGAATTAAAGCAGATAGATAGATTATTTTATTCCCTCCAATTATGAAGAGCAGAACATACAATATATAAAAAAATACATCATGTACAATAATTTCTTAACACTGATAAATTAGGTTAACAACAAGAGATATTTTACAAAATAATACAGTAAGTATCACAACATTACAAGCATATGTATATTGTTATTTAAAGTTTTTTTAGTTTATCCATAAAGAAAACCAGTCTTGTCCGAAAACGAAAAAGACAAGAAATGGTTGATGGATATATCCAACGGCACAAAATTACAGTTGTTATAAGTCATTGCCACTCATATTATTTAAGAAACCAAACAGTCATGTCGAAATTAAATAATGCGTTTATGACCAATGCCTTAGGATGCATTTGATGTGATACTTAGATAGCAGCAAAGTTCTTTTACGTGCATGAGACAGAAAAGTTTGTTATACATATGACCAAGTGTATAGGATTATTTAAGGTTTTGTTTCTAACGACAATGTTTTATAAATGTATGACATGTATTGTCAGAGCAAGAGTATGTATTTACATAAACACTTATAATTTCATTATTATTATTATAAGCAGGTCTGGCATATCATGTAACTTAATTATGAACATGCATAATGTACATGTAAAAGTACTTATGTAGTGACCAACAGTATTAACAAAAAAGTATGTTGATAAGTAACACCTCACAAACACACACCATGTCATGCCTATTTATGTGTTGTTATTTTTCTAAAGGAACATAAAACTACAATTATATAAAAGACATATATTAGCAAAAGTAATAAACTTTGCATTGAAATATCAACTAAAAACCAAATAGATAACATAGTACGTATACATTATTTTTAACTATGAATGATCATTTTGGCATACAGCAGCATGTTAAGTCAGCGGCCTGTGTTAAACAAATGATAGAGTCGTCTTAAAAGAGAAAACCTAGCTTTCCTGACCTCGTCAAATGTCATGTTGAGGAGCATATCTAATTGTACATATCTAGGTTCGGTTTGTTAATCCAGTCTTAATAAAAGTTGATTCCTACGTCAGCTATGAGGTCCCATACATGTTGTCGTAAATAGGACTTCTTTGTGCAAAAGTTCAAGGTATGATCTACAATTTCAGTACACAAATTTAAACAGTTTTTATATTGTTCTATGCAAGAACGCGACATTAATATTCCAACGACAGACACTATCAAATCGCAACAGGGACGTAACTCTTTTTTGAAATGTTATTAGATTGTGTGAAGCCAACTTAGGTTTGTTATGGGGTATTGTCTCACGAGAAAACAAGACAAATGTAGAAACGACAATGTGTTATGCGCGATAAATATCAGTTAAAATGTATTATTTTATTTGATATTGCAGCAGAATTTTACATTTATTGCTAGAAAAGAATGGACTTCAAGATATTAGTACTGCTTCTAGCGTCTACCACAAGATGTGTCTGTGTGTTCATATCAACTCCTACCAGCAACGCTACAGAAAGACATCGCCTTTACACAGAACTTTTCAAAAATCAGGGCTACAACTCTAAGATCGCTCCATTCGAGGGTAAAAATCTCTCTCTTGGTATGATTTTTTTTTTAAATATTTCTGTAGTCTACATGTATATATCCAATATAAAACTCTTGTTGTATGAAAAACTGTGCAGCCTAATAGATGTGTACAATGTATATGATATCATGTGACATTGAATATACACAATACGTATTAGTTGTTTGTTTTTGTTTTGTTTTTTATTATGTTAAAAGCAAATGCGTTCATGCTGGTAGCATTATTCTCATTTCTTTCATTTAAGCGATTAGCATCGAGGAAGAGTCACTCTCTTTACCGAATGTAACGTAAATTAGGGATAACCGCATCGAATGTTAGCTAATCGAAAGTTAACTGCATAAAATTATGAATATAACATGAAAATTTTGACGTATGCATACGTTACATCAATATCAAGACAATAAAAAAACAAATATTTCAGATAAATTCTTACTATGGGAGATGTTACCATAAAATGGTCATTGCTAGTTTCCTATGTGACTTTCTGTCATTTAAAAATCTAGAGTTTATGTGAAAAAAAAATAAAAATATGATTGTCAATGTCTTTTTGAATGGTTTTTTTGTCAAGCAGTAGAAAGTAGAAGAATGCATTTCGAGATCTGTGATAACTATCATTGTATGCTCACATAAAATATTGTCATTGGCCCCTGTTCTCATTACTGTACTTAATTGTACCCGTTAAGTGTCGGATTTTAGCTTAGTAAATGGTTAAAGCCTTAGGCAATCAATGTCAATATTTTTGTTATTACAATTCTATTCTTATAATTACATAATTATTTTTCTAGTACGTATTTTACACAATGTCAATTGAAAAATGCATGTGGTTAATCTGTATGTCATAATAAATTGCAAAATAATAATGGTATGTAAAATTAGAGTTTCTTTCGACGTACTAAAATAATAAGTAAATTAATTGTAATTAATACTGTCACGGAACTTAAAAATAAATTAAAAAAATATTTGTTTTGAAAAAATATATTTGTTTCACGCCGCGAGGCAGTAGCATCATTAAATCACCAGGATGCATGCTGTATATTTCAAATCATAAATCGCCAGAGTGTATTTAAAAGTTGAATCATAGTTTGGAAACATTTCCATTGAAAATGTGTCAGCTTGAGTTAAATCATATACATATACATGCAAAGTGCGTTAACTGGGATGCATTATTATAACTGGGATGCAGGTATTAGTTATCCGCACTAAAGAGTATGTCTACATAATGTGATGACAGAGAAAGGGCTTGTATTCGGATGCTCGTAGATTAGTTTCTTTTTTCTGGGGTTTCCTAGGGGCTTTATGGTCATGCCTTACTGATTTGCTATGCTAGAATGACTACCAACTTGAATCAATATAGTTGTCACATATATAATTACATTTGTATACTTCAGTTATTAACAAAAAATTCTGTGTACGTTTTCACACCTTGATAGTTCGATTAGTGAAAAAAATCTTTACAATATCTAAAAAGCAGAATACGAATTTTATAATGAAAAAAAATACAAAGTTAAAAATATCACTTATATTTAATTGAACCTTCATAAATTCTGCAGCTCATTACTTATATTGGCGTAATGTATGATTTTATGACGGCGCCACTTTTGCCGACGCAAATAGTATACATTCAAAAGAATTGTTCTTTTTATGCATTAACATTCTTTTTAGAAAAACATAGATTTATGTTATTGTTTTCTTTGTTTCTTTATGGTGAGCTCGTAATGCTTGAATCAAAATAATATTTATTCAACATTCATTACAGTATCTTGTCATTATTGTTTCGTGTTTCGAAACTACGGAATAATTACATTTTTGAAACTCAAAATAGCTATCGGGTACGTGTGAATCAGCAAGTTAATACGATTTAACTTCGTTGACACAATCAATTATTTAGAATAAACAGTGACCATGATAAGTTGCCCAGCCATGATCTTGTATTCAAACATATCATTAAGCTTTTTATGGTAAACGTTTTTCGGACGAAGTTCGTCTGTTATCAGTTTGACTTCCTGTAAAATTAACAGGGAATTACTGAAGATAAGAATCATTTTACTTTGCCATTTAAAATTACAAACTGAAATCGGTGAATCTCATTGGTCATTCTAAAATAAAATGTAAATGATAGTTCTTACCATTCTTAAATAAAATTTTAAGGATATCTCTAATACAAAATGTAAGGGATAGTTTTGCCACTATATAAAATGAAATGTAAAGGATAATTCTAAAAAAAATGTACAGGAATGAGGATAGTTCCTTAACTTTTAAGTTAATTTGTAAAACAAAATACAATGTCAAATGTAAAAACAAGTAAAAGGGACACCTTAAATAGAAGTTGTCCTACTTTGGAAAATCATCAATATCAAAATACTATAATTTAATTCCATCTTTACAAAATGAGTATTTTCTTATCTACAAGAAATAATTATCATGTCACCGTTATGCAAGCATTGCTAACATTTCTTTTTGTAAAAACAACATAGCTTTGCATGTTAACAAGTATTTCTGCGGCCGGGAATCTTTTTGAAAGATACTTCTTGTTATTCATTTCATCATCCTTAAATGTAAAATCGTATTCAGTAATATAAAATTTAGGCACTTTTAGTCTGCCCATCTGTACTAGCAACGGAACGATGAGAATTAATTAATAATTTAGCCAATAGTCCACCGGACTTTTTGCAATGAATAATTTTGGGGCATTAGATGGTAAGGTTTTTGTTTCAGTAAATAATGTTTTTATGTTTCAGATGTAATCATTTCTTTCTTTCTTGAAACGATTATTGACTTTGATGAGATAACAGAAGTATTGAAGACAGCATCCTACATGAAAATAGAATGGAATGATACATACTTGCAGTGGAATGAAACCGAATACGACTTAAATGTAACATATAGGCCTCAGGTAACATTCCATACCTGGTGACGTATTGCCTTTCTCTACTTGTGTGGGGTAAACGAGTATTGTTCAGATATAGATACAACTACAAGCATAATAATGTATTGCATAATTGGTGCCAATTCATAATGTTCTATAAAAATAACTCGTACGTAGGAGATAAAAAAGCCTTAATTAGGAGTTTATATACCCCATCGTATGACTTATAGAAAGATATACATTACAAGAAAATTTGAAAAATGCACTAACGCATGATGGAAAAAGCTGAAAATTAGGCTTTTTATCTTCTACGTATGACTTATAAACTCCTACGAAGGAGTTATAAAGTCCTACGTAGGACTTATAAACTCCTAATTATGCTTTTTTATCTCCTACGTAGGAGTTATCTTTTTTATAGAACATGTTAAATTACCGCGCCAAGCATTAACAGCCGTTAAAGTAATATTTGGATATTTAGTGCATCTTTTAACTTTACTTGTAATGTTTACCTTTCTTTACTTTAAACGACTCACATTTGCACGAAAATGCTATAACGTAACCGGGTTTTATAACATCATTATAAACTCCTAATTAGGCTTTTTTTATCTATTACGTATGAGTTATTAAGTCCTACGTAGGAGTTATAAAGTCCTAAATAGGTTTTTTCATCTCTTAAGTAGGAGTTATCTTTTTTTATAGAACATGTTTAATTGGCACCAGGACGCTACCGTATAATCAGGAAATCAGTCTGGCATGCTATTTTCTGTCGACGGTCATAAAACCAACAATTACCTATCTGCAAAGACATTCGGTCTTAATATGAAAGAGGAAAGTAATGAGCAGGAAATTGTACATAGAAAAAAAGCACTAAGATCGGCACGCCGCAGCCGTGAGTCGAACCACGGGTTGATTAAATCTCAAATTTGCCGTATATGATTAACAACGCTAATTTGAATTTGCCGTAGCTTACAGCCTGTCGGACTCCTTTCTCGATATGTATAATGAATGCCTCCGAGGAAGCTCAAAAGCAACGGCAAATTCACATTAGCATTTTTAAGTAAATATGTGTATATATATATAGAAAAAGGAAATGCTGTCGTAACCATCTTTTTTTCAGAACGATGTTTGGAAGCCAGATCTAGTTCTAGCCAATTCAGTTAGACCATATGAAAGTCTTGGACATGAAGCTATCAAGGTTGAAAATAAAAATGACGGTCATATAGGGTGGTACCTTCATGAGGTACGTATATTTTATTACTGCTCAAGAATAACTTATTTTTTCAAATCACCTGATATAAACTGCATTGTATAATATATAATGAATACACATGCATTGTACTTAATCATTTACTAATGAGACATGACTCAAAAAAAGTTCATAAAATCTTTAAATAATCAAAATTAAGAAGTCTATGTCTATTGTTAAAGAAATATATAAATACATATATTTTCATATTCCAGGTGAAAACATTCATGTAAAATATGAGAGGATGTACTGTTTTTACCACCTAAGTTTTTTAACGAAACAAGCGTAGTAAATGTGTGCATCGTAAGTGCCTTCATCTTCCTTACATAGAATATTCAACTGACAACATGTATATCTATATTTCAGGTGTTTGAAACGGCGTGTGATATAGACATGACTTATTACCCACATGATGTACAAACTTGTAAAATAGAAATTATGTCTTGGAGCTACCCTGAAGTAAGCAAATTTTGTATCATACTTTCTGTTGAACATGTGTCAGAGATTAATCGTATTCGTATACATGCACAGTGCGTCAACTGGAGTGCAGGTATTAGTTACCCGCACTCCAGAGCATGCCCATTGATTGGCTCATTTTTTCTGGGGTTTACATATTGTGACCACAGAGACCGGGATAGCGATAGAAATATCATATTCAAATGCTCGTTCATTGGTTACTTTTTCTGGAGTTTCATATTGTGACAACAGGAATTGTGTTTTTATGTTTGACTATGATACAAAAGAGAAAGAACATAAACATAATAACACTTGGCAATCTGATCAATACTAGGGGCTACACCCCCTCGCACAAATCAGATAGCCTCTTGTTTTGATGTTCTTTCTATTTCTAAATGATGAAACAATCGCTTGCAAATAAACGTAAACCAAATTGACCATATAATACTACCTTCACTTCGTTTTATCAAAATGTTTCTTATAACCCCCGCATAACCTGTCGCATCTTCCCGACCCTTTACGTCAAACTTCGAAATAGCAACTCGAGCACAAAAGTTAGAATGCACGGGAGGATACAGTTTTTCGATCTTACCTACGTTATGTAACAAATAGTTATTTAATGCTGGGCGTTGATAACTAAATTTAGATATACTCGTATATTATACATATATAAATTTAGTTATCAACGCCCATCATTAAATAACTATTTGTTACGTAATAGCCGAGATGTTCTGATCTGGTATTTAACGCATATGACGTCACAGCAAATATTTATGCACGACCGTGCAATGTCACCTTTATTAAGTCGCGGGTATGCGATTTGAACAAATTATTGAAGATTGATGGCTCTACCAAGATACATACACTGACAAAATCTTTTGGCATTATTTATAAAATCATCAAATATTTTACATGAATTCTATCAAATGCTGTTATAAATTTGAACAAATAGATTCTAGTTGCCTGTCCCCTTGACATAATATGGTGAGTAATGGATATGTAATCCAGAATTCGCCAATTTGATCTCCGATGTAGGATTTGTGGTCTGTCACTTACAAATACGTAATTACTAGAAGGTTTTCCAGGAAGGCCAGTAAGGTAGACCCGACCTCCGGGATGTGTATAAAATGTGTTAAACTCGGCTTAAATAAAAAGTTGAAGCTAATGTGTTGCTCAAATAATCTTTAATGATATATTGTGTTCTGGATTTTTTGTCTTATTGCAGATAAAACTAATCGCAGATCCGGATCATGTAGATTTAACCTATTACGGTTCCAACCGTGTATGGAAAATCTTAAACACAAGTGTAACACACGAAGAGAGATTGCACGTGGATGTCATAATATATAAATTAGAGTTGAAGCGGAAACCCCAGCACGCTCTGTTGACATTATTTCTTCCAGTTCTGTTCCTAAACCTTTTAGGACTTTCTGTGTTTGCAATTCCTAACGGTGGTAACAGATCAGGGTACGCGGTTACAGTTATCCTGGCTTTCTCCTTCTACTTGACCATTGTAGATTCTGTTATGCCTCCGCACTCCGAGAAGATACCACTCTTTTCGATATATTTGGTTATTCAAACTGCCCAGTCAACAATCATCACAATTTTATCTGTACTTTTAACGAAAGCAGAATTAATGGACAAGGACACGGCAGTACCACGTTTTCTTGTGTTTCTCGTTAAAATTAGCAAAGTACGCTGTAAGAAAAATACCAAATCTAACAAGGTCTGTACAACTGAAAGCATTGAGACAGAAGCAATTTCGGATAACAAGACCGATAACAATAAGGAAGCCACACACTTTACTTGGGACATGGTTGTCGACGCCGTTGATAAAATAGCAGCAATATTCTTCACTTTAACTTTTGTTTTTACTTCCGTAGGTTTCTTTTGTGCAATCTTTCTTTCAAACTAATGACTGTTCCATTTGACAAAATGTACATTTCGTACAATGATATTTACATTTGAATATGAAGTAAGTTTTAACTTAAATTAGATCATTCGATTTTCCTTCAATCACTTATAATTCTATATGTTTCTTTATAATGAAATGGAAATATATCTGATTTTCTATCCAAATTGACGAATTAATTAAAAATAATAGTGCGTTTTACCGTTGAAATTTGAGGATTTAGAATGCTTTAAAGGGTACAGATACCACAAGTATAAGCCTTCATGAATACAAGTTTACGTCACCGCTGAACATATACTTTTTTCAATTCTGCCACTAATGCATGGATATTTGAAATATATATAAAAAGACGTGTCTTTATAAGTGTAAGTATATTTTCTACATTTAGCGCGATAACTTACCTGTTAGTACTTTCACTGTTATAATCCATAGTTTTCCACTTGATTGGTTTACTTAACTATGTATGTGCACTGTATAAATGTTTATTTATGTATACAACGCATTTTGATAAAACAGGACGAACGGCTTACTTTCTCTAATGTTATTTTCTGCCACTTATTTTTACAAAAATGGCTGCCGTAAAGATTACAAGTCACGAAAACTCCGTGACGCATAAAATCACTTTATAAAAACTAATGTGAACATAGTACAATTTATGATAAAACCTCTTGACAAGGATTTACTTTCATTCTTTAGAACTTTCTCATTTTATTATGTTTCATCCATGAACACCTTATTTATCTTTTGGTAAAATACTTTGATTGCAGAACTCTATTGAAATCAAGGAAATTCTTGTTGAATTAATTGAATTTGAATAAAATAATGCACAAACTATGTTTAGGGAGCTGCATTCCCTATTACTGGTCAAGAGACTTTTGTCTTTTCTGCCAGTCATTTTAATGTCGACATGACACTATTTATTCAAACTGTATATACCTGTAAATAGTTTATAGTTTGAAAAGAATTATATCTTATCTGTGTGTACTCAAAAATGTTTATTTCTTTACAAATATCAAATCTGAGCAAAATATATCTTTGTTAAACCAGAGCAAAATAAAGTAGATTGAAATTTGATAAATAAATTTGTACAAGTAATGGCATACTAGCAATTATACTACAAGAACAAACCATTCACATGTCATTTTATGCGAGGCAATACGATCGGCATGTGATTTATTTATTTAAAAAAAAGACATGTCTTTATAAGTGTAAGAATGTTTTCTACATTTAACACGATAACTTACTAACCTGTTAACACTGTCACTGTTATAATCCATAGTTTTCCACTAAATTGTTTACTAAACCATGTATTTGCACTGTTAAAATGTCTATTTATGTATACTACGCGTTTGATAAAACAGCACGAACGGCTTACTTTCTCTAATTTTATTTTCTGCCACTTATTTTTACAAAAATGGCTGCCGTAAAGTTTACAAGTCACGAAAAACTTCGTGACGCATTAAAATCATCAAATAGATATTTTTCTTTAAACAAAATACAGCTATATAAATTACTGCTGATTATAAATATTGTTTACAACACATGTAAATGTGCACGTATATTCACTTTATGAAAACTAATGTGAACATAGTACAATGTATGATAAAACTTCTTGACAAGGTTAGAATTTTCTCATTTTATTATATATCAAGGAACACTTTATATATCTTTGGTAAAATACTTTGATTGCAGAATTCTACTGAAATCAAGGAAATTCTTGTTGAATTAATTGAATTTGAATAAAAGAATGCACAAACAATTTTTGGGGAGCTTCCCAATTACTGGTCAAGAGACTTTTGTCTTTTCTGCCAATCATTTTAATGACACTATTTATTCATACTGTATATACCTGTAAATAGTTTATAGTTTGAAAAGAATTATATATTATCTGTGTGTACTCACAAATGTTTATTTTTTTACAAATATCAAATTTGAGCAAAAAATATCTTTGTTAAACCAGGGAAATATAAAGTAGACTGAAATTTGATGAAAATTGATAAAAGTAATAGCATACATGTTCGAACAAACCATACGCATGTCATTTTATACCGGTCAATAAAATCGGCTGCAGTTTTCAAATGTGATTTATTTCACTAAAAAACAAAAACAACAAAAAACATTTTGTTATTTCATAAACGTCAATTTTTCTGAAGAAGACTAAACATAGAAAGCTAAAGAAAAGCGTTTGTTTTTATTGAATTGATTATATATTTATTTCAATCCTGATATATGTATGTTTAAAATTGGAGAACAATTTGTTTTTGTTTGTTTCTTTCTTTTTTGTGAAGCTTTTAATGTATTTTTTTTAATGTTTTCTTTGGTTTTTATGCTGCACTTTAATATGTAAATACATGACACGTTATTGTCGACATTTGAATGTGTTCATGTTATAACTATTTCCATTGTAACTTATCCTTTCAGATACAACAATATGTTATATGATTAACAGACGCAGTTTGTTTCTCTAAAGTTCGTTCAGAATAGTCTCAAGAGCAAAGAACATCAATTTAATGATTGTAATCTGCCGAATGTCGAATGAAAAATGCACTATAATAGTCTTAATTAACCAGTGACTGTATTAAATATTCAGGACTTATTTTTAACACAAAATCAGTTCAAAAATTTTCTAGATTAAAAAGCATTGAGATGAAGTGCGGGACACAATTTTAATACTATTTGTAAATAACTGAAAATAGTTAATTCAATGTTCGAAAACGTAGATTAAGTCAAATGTCGCAGAGCTAGGACGACATAAACACGTTAAGATATTAAACATAAAATGACAAAGAATTAATAAAATTTAAGAAAAAAGAAGACAATGACAACAGCAATCAGTTTATGATGTTGAGACATTATATGAAGATGGTCGCTACTGGAAAAAGAAATCTTCCCAGCCATTTTCATCTTAGATACATACTTGTCATAGCAAACAACAATTTTGTAGGAGTTTATATCGGTGTATAAGTTTACATACTCCCCTTTATAAAATACGATACCATTTTCCAGGGTTACTATACTATTTTCACAAGTGTTTGCCGGAATTATTACCAAATCACAGAACTGTAGAGTAGTCATGGCGATTGGATATGGACATACAGGCGTCTTGTCGTCAATTAACAGTAGAATTTCCGATATTTTTCCCAATGTCATTGTATATTTAACGTTCTCATTAACTTCTACTCTGATCGGAAAATCTTCTTTCTTCTCTCTGCTGTTGTAAAATGATATTTTACTGGTTAAAATTTCGTAATCTTTATATATCGACGTCCGTTGTCTGATGTGCTTTGTCATTTTGACCATAACTGCAATAAAATAGCCTTCCACAGCAACGCCGATAACTTCTTCATTACATATTGCCACTGCTGTTTCCTTATGGTGCAATACAAAACGGCGGGCTTCCATAAGAACTTGGTTGTCGTTAAATTTGATTGTTTTATATAAAAATCTTAGATGATAAGACAAACTGGCACCCGCAATTCCCGAAAGAAACGGCCTGCAAAATTTTTTAACTTTCTTGTGCCCGAAAGGACAAGTTTTTTTTATGCACTCGCTCTGTAAAAGTAAACGGAATTCGTTTGCTTAAATTCAAGATAAAATCTAATTTTCGATACAAGAATTCGCATCTTAGCAATATTAAAATAATTTCTTTTCATTGCATCAATATAAAGAAAAATGTTAGCAACTATAAAAAGATTTTAATATCTCAGATAATAAGACATATGAATCATCTTACCAGTTTTTGGGTACTCAACTCTCCGTTAGGACATTGGCCCAGACTGTATGATCCTTCCTCGGTTTCCATTGACAATAAAGCTGAATCAGTAATTATTGAAATCTTGCCTTGTATGTTTGACATATTTCGCTGTAAATAACAAGCTTCTAGATTTTCGTTGCAAGCAAGACAGTAAACATTTTTATACACACCTTTATAACCAATGACCGGGTTGTGTAATTCTTTACAAGCATCTTGAAATTTGTGGGGTAATCTAAACCTGGGACAATTTGATATCAAATATCTGTCATCAATGCAAATTTGGGCTGTTTTAGACGGGGGATTCCACAGGAGGAGCCTTACGTCTTCAAGCATTATTTTCAAACCATTGGACGACTTTGCGACGAACAATTCAAGAAGATCATTGCAAACTATTTCAGATTCCCATCGGATTATGTCGAAATAATCATTGTTACATTTTGCACAGTGTATGTTTCTGTAATTTTGTTCTGTAGTTCTACTGTATACAGGAATGATTTCATCTAAATGCTCGTCATTCGGGTACATGCATTTCGTGAATATGTCAGTATACTTTGTGCGATTCTCAGTAGCGGGGCAATATTGTTGCAACGAGTACCGATATTGGCCTTTCCCGATTGAAGATAAACTAGGGTTTCCCTTAGACGTTTTAACACACCTGAATTCGTTTGTATCGTGGGTGTTATTCGAGATACAAGGTGGACAGCAATGATTTATCATTTTGTCAGGTTCTGCCGTTATTTCATACGAGAAGCACGTTTGATATGGGCAAAATGTTTCAGTTATATTCGCCTGCTCACCAAGACCATTAATGAAAGGAATGTTTAGTTCAGCATCTACAATAATAACAAGTATGTAGAAATATATAAATTGATAACACGGTTTGAACAGCATATTCCACATTTAAATATCACTAGCGAAATTTAAATCAATATCACTGGATGATACGGATTCTTCTAAATTTTCAGAAAAAAAAAAGTTTTAACACTTATAACACTATCTTCGATTCATCTCACATGTGAAATCAATCTGATGGTACACATCCATGAAAAAGTTCCGATATTTTCTATTTCATCAATATTTCATCAAACATTTTCACAATATTGCATTCAGTGTCAAATGAAGTTCTTGTTGAAATGTCTAGGAAAGTCATAGTTTATATACTCACTGCGTTTCTCTTTGTATTCTTCTAGCCAATAAAATAACAGATAAAAAATTCGCATGTTATTATGTTCTCACTTCGTAGTAATTGTGTTTATAATTGCCAACTTTACTTTCACACTCTAGATTGTACATCCATAACACCAGGTCTTATTTCATGGCACGCTCAGTTAATACTAACAATTTGTGTTTTGTACTCTACGCAGATGGTTGAACAATTTGACACGTCATGTTAGCGACGTCATCTCTGTGAAATCACTCAGCTTTCTTCACACCAAACTGAGTGTGTATCATGTGTTGTATAAGTATTAGTATAAGCATGTGATATAAGCTTAAAGAATATCATGCAAAGTTAATTGTAATATAAAACAATATTGGTAGAATATGTAGGATTTCTAAACATTATTTTTGTTATATATAAAATACTTTTCTCTTATGAATGTACATGTACTCATTTTTAAAATTCCTGAATAGGAATTGATGAGAAGCAAAACTTAACAGAAAATTGCAGACATTGTTGGTTCAGATATATTTATTTTATCTGTTCTTAGTAATTATAACATATAACCAATGTCATGATTTCAAGCATAAGTAAAAATCAAATTTTCTGAATTAATTTCATTGATATTAGTTAGGAAGAAATGGTCAGAATATTTAGAGCTCTTTCTGACCTTACATATATCCTACACATTCAAGTCTGATTATATGTTACCGAAATTCGATCAATTTTAGTATAAAAATATTCCGCACAATAGACATTTTAATCCACATTGACAGTTATTTGACACAGGATTGAATTACAATTAAAGTCCCTGATATTCAATTTGATAAATATTTACTTTATATTGAAATAATATCGCAGAATATCGCGGTACAATTGCAAAGTCGCATAAAGATTGAAGCAAGAATTCTGAAGAACAAGGCATAATTATTTGTTTCTTACGTGTTATCGTAAAAAATACCTCTAGTCCACCGACAGTATGTAAAGTTCCGGATGATCTGTCGGGAGATAGGAGAATATTTCATCCCATTCTTGCAGAGGTTCATGTTCGACGGAAAATCGGGCAACTTCTAAAACGATGGATGAGAGATTTTATGTTTTATCCGAGATATAATGTGACATTTAAGATCCCAAGTATTATAAAACAAATATCATGAATTCATTAGATGCGATTAACTGACCTGTTTTTGTTACGCTAGGCCCCCGTACGTAGGGCGACATATAGTAATCACACTGTTCGTCCATCCGCCGTCTGTCCGATAATCTTGTCCTCGCTTCATCTACAAAACCGATGGGGGATTTCAGTGAAAATTCATAGAATTGTTTGTCACCATGCATAGTAACATAGTATAGTTGTGCATAGTATCTTGACTTTCCGCTTCAATTTTGAGCACAGTTATGGTCCCCTTAATGGCCAATTTTCGAATAAAATAAGCTTGTTCGCGCTTCATCACCAAAAAACCGCTGGGGATTTCAGTGAAACTTCACTTAAGTGTTTGTCATCATGCCTAGGTGTGCATACTTTCTTGATTTTCCGCTTGAATATTTTTTGCACAATTATAGCCCCTTAATGGTCAATTTTCGAATAAAATAAGCTTGTCCGGCCTTCATCACCAAAACCAATGGGGAATTTCAGTGAAACCATAAAATTGTTTGTCACCATGCCTAGTTGTGCATTATATCTTGATTTTCCGCTTGATTTTTTTGCACAGTTATGGCATCTTAATGGTCAATTTTCGAATAAATTAAGCTTGTCCGCGCTTCATCACCAAAACCAATGGGGAATTTCAGTGAAAATCCACAGAATTGTTTGTCACATAGTCTAGTTGTGCATAATATCTTGATTTTCCACTTGAATCTTTTTACACAATGTCAAAGCTTCCTTTCGGGGGCATATAAGTCACTTTTTCAGTAACAGCTCTTATTGTTGTTAGTGGCGGTGTTGGTTTCATTTTTTTAAAGAATGTACGGTCTTTTGACTTGTTAATTTTGCGGCTGACTCGTGGATATTCAACAATTAAAGTGCACAATCATTACTATCTTAAGTTAAAAATATCCATATCTAATCAATATTGTAATCGAAGCAACATTTCTGCGAAAATGGTAAAAAAGTGCGGAGTTTAAAAAAGAAGTGATTGTAGTGTCAGATATAATACTGATGGCGTTCTGTCCAATATAGGTTTAATAGTTGTGTAATGCGTATATAATTCAGAATTGTACTCATTTATGTTGATAGTAACCTTATATAACTACTGGTGGATATATATCTTGCAGCCAATTGTAATGTGGACTTGTTCAAGTTTATAAATGACATAGATTGTCAAAGTTGTCAATCATAATTAATGCGTAGAACTAGGATTCTAGACGTAGATTTTATATACATGTAGTTATGGTTTCCCCTCCGTACGGAATTAAACTTATTCTAGAGAGTAGTTCTTTTAAATCTTGAAGTAGCCCATTTCAAGTCATTCCTTGTGAGACTGTTTATATTTTAAGCATATTTTTGTAATTGTTTACATGAAGTGTCATTTCTAAGTACTTTAAAGGTTGCTTTTGTGTATCTTTGCACGACTTTATTTCTGGGTGGATGGTGTCATGAAGTGCTATGCACCAGCATATACCCAAGTTGTTATTTGGATTATTTTATTGTGATTACACAATAAATCTGCAGAAAAAAGTCCAAGTGCTATATTGTATAATTTTTGTGTGCTAAATTTAGTTGGATAGTATTGTAACGTTTAAAGGCACACAAACCCTGTCGGTGAAAAGCTAGGGTTTGCGTGGCTTAAAACGTTACATTTGGTGGCCTGTTTGGGGGAATGTAAACAAATGCTGAACTAAAGTTGCTGTACCCAAAAATTTTCCAAACGAGACTTCTCGGAGGGGAAAGTAATGTAAAAACGTTAGTAAAACGTCATAATACTAATAATAATGATAATATGCAAAAATGTTAAATAATATAAAAAAATGTTTCCCGTATATAAAAACATAAATTTAACCACTTTTGCCATTGTGGTAATTTAAGCTAGATTTTTACCGATAGGGTTTGTGTGCCCACGGATTTATATTACAATATTATATGTAATATAAATCCGTGGTGTACCTTAAAACGTTACAGTATTGTTGTTGAAAGTTAATTATAGCCATCAAATTCCTGTACCAGGTATACTGTCCAGAATCTTACCTAGCCTTAGATGTGATGGATTAAATACATGAAAAATAGGGCGAAATCGTTATAAAATTTCTAAAATGATGCTGTACATAACACGGAATATAACGGTTACCGGGTTATTTTCTTTCGTGTTTGGATAGTTTTATCATTTACGCAGTTGTTTCCCTTTTTACAAAAATTCGCCGTTTCAGCACTATTCGTTTGTATGGAGTGAATTTGATTCTTTTTTAAATCTAAATAACAGATATTATAGTGTTATCCTTTTTATTTGAACTAATTCATCTAACAGTTTACATGTATTTCATTACTTTGCTTAAGGATATTGTTGTGTTGACTGTCCAGTAACGCTATTCCAGTTGTGGCATATGTTTCCATAAAAATATACTCGCCATAAGGACCCGGCACAGTGTTGGGATAGTGTAAAAAAGTAATTCTAGAAAAAAAAATATAGTTTATATGTAATATATAGACAAGGGGTTGAACTCGCCAAATCGTCAGAATGCCACTAGTCCAGTATAAGTCAAAATTGCAAAAGTCATTTTTACGTAAATCATATTAAGTTATATATCAATTTCCGCAAAATGACATCACTTGACGTTGACAATAACATTATTGTTCCCACTTAAACCGTTTTTGAATAACAAACCAATATTTCGGATGGAACATCGTACTTTTACTAGGTCGACATCAACCGTGCAACCTCCCGCACCTAGCAGCCCTTCTCTGGACGGACTCTATCTGGTCAATGAGAGTTCCTGTGTATGGGGACCAGACCATGGAGCTGTACTCGAGCTGGGGCCTGAAAAGTGTCTTGTATGCGGTTGACTTTAACCTTTCTGAGTGAACTTTGATGTTTTGACGTAGAAAACGTGTTTGATTCGCCTGTTGTGATGTTGTTTATGTGTTTGTTCCATGTTAGATCATTTGATATTGTAATGCCAAGGTATTTTGCAGATGGAACTGTTTCTATAAATGTGGTGTTATGTAAGAGGTATAGTGTTGGACTGACTGTTTTTCGTTTTGTGATTTGGATAACCATGCATTTTGATGGATTAAATTGCATTACCATAGTAACCTCTTCTAAAATTACCCAAAATGGCAGACTTTGGAAATAGTTTAAAAAATGTCATTTTAATTGGATCTTTAGAAATAATTTTTTGACAAACAGTTTTGGAAAAGGTTCACTAATTAAATAGAAGGAAAATCTCATTCATGTATGATATTTATATTTGAATATTTTCCAATAAATGTTAAGAACCGTGATATCATAGAACCCCAGGCTATTAGATGTTACGGGATTTTGTTGTGTTGTAATAGATAGACCCCTTGGTTTGATATTGCCCCACCCCAGGGGGTCACTCAGTTAATAAATTTTTATGTAGGATTACACTTATTTTGGTGCAACTGCAATGCTAGTCTAGAGTGTATTTGACATGTATCTTACCTAGCTTGTTGGCTTCTGCAAAACTGGTATAAATAATGCCCTTTTGGTAAATGTTGACCCCACACTTGGATCATTTAATTGAAATAGTCTTGTATGAGAAAAGACAATTAAGTCTTGTTGTGAAATTACAATGCCAAAAGCTTAGTCTAACTAATACCAAGGGCTAAGATATTCAATATGTGCAATGTATATGACATTGTAAACGGCAGCAGAATTGATATTAATAATGCCCCTGAGGTCAAAATTGGCTCACCCCGTGGTCACTGACTTGATTATAGGAAAACACATTTAAGTCTTATTGTGTGAAACTACAAAGCAAAGAGGTCAGATATTTGGCATGTAACAAATGTCATTATGTGTAGATTTCTACAAAAGTTATGTTAATCATGACCCCCAGATCAAAATTGGTCCTGCCCGAGAAGTCACTTGCTTTAAGCTAGATCAAGGTATAGGAAAACACATCTTATCTTTTTGTGGATTTATACTATGTTTCTGTACAAATTTACATTCAGAAGTATTTTGCCCCACCTTTGCGTTGCTCTTGATTAAATTTGGCTTAATACACCTTTACCTTTTTAACGTGAAGAGACCAGAATAGAATTACTTACTGCCAGTCAATGGGCTATTCTCTCACATCACAGCAGGTTCCTATTTTCTGACAGTCATGTTCAAGTTCTTACTTGCGAGTAAGTTTATAGTAGGATGTTATAAGTACACGTGACAGAAATTGACAGGATATTTTGCATTTTCTTCACCATTAATTGCTTGAGCTTGTGTGATTACTTATGTAGATGGTTAATTACCTTATGATCTTAGATTTGTCTTTAGGACATTTGATGTAAAATATTAGAATATTATCAAATTCATCTCTCTTTTTTCATTGTTTGATTGATAATTTTATAATGTTTCATTCAGTATAATAATGTCCGATTCTGATGAAACAGTTGGTCCAGATTCTGATGAGACTCTTCCACCTGATGAAGATGAGAGTAACAGATGCTACTCACCAGATTTGTTTGATAATCAAGGTTAGGTGTACAGGCCTATTGGTGCTTTTTAGTTAGTTGTTATTTGTTTTGTTTTTTGGTGTGTGTGTGTGGGGGGGGGGGGTAAATTTCAATACTAACAAAGATATTCAGACTTAATAGGTGGATGCACCTTAATGAGTCCCATCTGTCACACCCATGAGATCAAAGGTCAAGGTCACTGGTTATAGCAAAACATAAAATGGATCATTATATCCAAGTGCAATTTACTATTCAGCACAAAACAGTGGAGCATGCTGCTTCTCTAACAGCACTTGTTTTAGTTAGTGTCATGTACGACCATCATGGTTCTCTTTATTAAACACTTTTCTTCAAATATTTACTGGACGTTCCAGTTGATAGATTTTGAGGATTTATTAAAAGATTATAAATGCTATTTGGCAAATGAATTTTGTATAAGGGGTGTACTTGTAACTGTTCAACATTTTTGAAGAATTTGAAGATATAAAAAAGTAGTAACTAAGGTGCGAAGTTATAGATAACACCATTTTTAAATGATTACAGAGTCACACAAGTTGTATTATATAGAATAATTTACAAGAAGGCCACATACTGTATAGTGTCATAATGTCTTTAAACCCAACAATAGAATTTAATGAAAATATATGACTAATGTGATAACTTGTCAGAACTTGGCATTGTACAGCCTTATTTCTAAACATTTAAAGAAACTGTTTGAATCCACTTTCTGCTGTACAAGTACAATTCCTAGTACAATTAAAATGAATTTGTGCATAGTACAAAATAAATACGAAAAAAATATTTCATAAACAACTAAATCTGTTCAAAGTAAGTTTTTCTGAGTTTTTTTTTTTGGTTTTTTTTGTGTAAAAAGCAAGTCCAGTCATTTTATACCACCACCACATAAAGGGGAAAAGGCAGATCTGTAAACATGTATGATTTTTAAGACATGAAAAAAATTCTTACCAATTTTTTTTCTTTTGCAGTGAGTTTTATTAGAAAAATGGAGACAACATCTAAAACTGGAGCTGTGAAGAAACATGATAGTAGTGCACATGATATATCCGACAGTGACTCTGATACAGAAACTAAAATATTACATTCATCTAAAGGTAAAACAAAGGGAGATCAGCATGTCACCCCTTTAAAGGACGGTAACAAACATACAAATAATAAAAATTCAAATGGTTATGATAAGATGGTGTCCCATAAAACACAAGAAAAGCTTCAAAGAGAAAGTACACAATCCAGTACTGTAGAACATGTACAGTCAGAGAGAAAACAGTTTATGAACGATTTTTTAAACATGACAGAAAGTGACTCAGATAGTGAATATGAGAAAAATAAGAAGATACTTAATGCAATGAAAGAAAAAGCTCACAGGAACAAATCAAAGGTTTCTACGAAAACTGAAATTGATGAAGACTTTGCTTTAAATAGCATTAAAGAAAAGTCAAAAACAGTAAAAAGGTCAGAATATTTAGAAAAGAACCATTTTTTGCAAAAGCCTCACAAAAAAGACTATAGTCAACCCTTACTTAAACAGGAGACTATTTCTAGCAGTAATGATGGATCAAAAGATGTCTCTACCTTGTCAAAGAAATCTGAAGTTAAGGAGAAATATGAATATTCATCATCAAGTGTTAAGAGGAAGCATTCAAGATCACCTGTACCACAGCAGTTACGTAAAGCTGTGACAGAGATTTTGAATAACAATACAAATTCTATAAAGAAAAAAGTACCATGCCAATATGGAGCAAAATGCTATCGCAAAAATCCATCTCATTTTGAAGAATACAGTCATCCAAAAGGTAGGTAATTAGGCATTTTTTTCCCCATATCTTTGGGTTACCATCAACTTAATTTTGAAAATGTGTAACAAATTGTCTAAATTTGAGTATTTTGCTAGAATGGGAGCTATATATAATTATTATTATGTATGAAATGAAAATGTTGTGTGTATATCATTGGTTAATATTATGGAGAAGAATGGCTTAAGCATTCAATTATCTTGACTGCCCCTTTTTTTTTTCTCTAAGAAATAAAAGTGAAAATTGTTAGAAATTGCAACCGATATGGAACTTTTACCTTACAGTATGGGAAACAAAATTTTGGAATAATTCATGTGTCTTATACTGGAGATGACTTGTACCTTGTTGTGCTGGGTGTAACTTCAATAATATATGAGCCGCGTCATGACAAAACCAACATAATGGGTTTGCGACCAGCATGGATCCAGACCAGCCTGCGCATCCGTGCAGTCTGATCAGGATCCATGCTGTTAGCTTACAAACCCTATAACAAGTACAGAAACTGATAGCGAACAGCATGGATCCTGATCAGACTGCGCGTATGCGCAGGCTGGTCTGGATCCATGCTGGTAGCAAACGCACTGTTGGTTTTGTCGTGACACGGCTCATATGATATAGTGATCTGGGGGAACTCAATAAGTGGTGAGGAAATAGGTTGCTTTAATAATATACAGTATAAATATTACCATTTTATAGGGTCAATTATAAATTAAATCTTAGGGAAATGCACTTGCCTGAGTATCTTTATATTTGACCCAATTTATAAATGTATTCTTTTGTAGAAAAGTATTTAAAAGTCAATAAAGATATTTTACTGTAATATAATAAAATTATTTTCTACATTGAAGTCAATGTTTAAGTATGTTACATCAAGATTTTTTTTTTAAAGTGACACTATGCTCATATTTTCATAGTCAAGTTGAGCTAAATTGACTTTAAATTTTAAAAGAATGACTCGGTACAATGGTGTTTGACCAACAGTTGATATTTTTTTGACATGTGTAGGATAAAAATTAAATCTGCCTAAAATATAAAAAGACTGCCCCACTCTTTTTATAAACTGATCTTTACAGGTAAATTCTAATGAAAATTTACAGAAAGTTCATTTTGATCCGTGCATTATATATTATTACCCCTCACTTTTTTCGTAACGCTAATTTCCCATAGGCCTCTGGGAGTTATTTTTACTGTTAATGCAAGTGTACCACGTGACTAAGAATTTTGTACTGTTACATAGGTAACAGTATTTTTTAACAGTATAAAATCTGGTCACGTGGTCTATTTTCTAAATAAAATGGCCGCCATTTTTTCTCGATTCATTCTTATTTTCGACGTTAGACCCCGATAGGACATCAATTTCTTCTCTGGAGTAACTATGACACTCATAAAATTTAGTTGTTCGCACCCTGGTGTGCTTTACGCATATAAAATATCTTTTTGTTGAATATTCAAAAAGTGAACATCCGTTTTCAACGGAAGTAATTGCAATGTAAATAATTATGTGTCAAACTGGAACATTCAGACGATTTAAGCATGCAACAAAGGATTATTTAACAATTTTAATCAGTGAAACGTTACAGATATGGTGGACAGACATAGGATATCATCGTTATTTTGTCAAAAACCATGCTAAGAATATTCTGGAAACAGAAGGATCAGATTTCACAGATCATAACCGTGTAAATGGGTTAGTGTTTTGTTTTCTAAATAAAACCTAGCTTATTGTATGTTTATGATTTGTAGATATCATCACTTGCTTAAAGAATAAAAGAAAACGAAAACTTCTCAAGTAGGCCTAAAATACACTTAAAACTAAAAAGGTATGGACAGTTTAGTTATTGTTAATCTTGGTTTATTTTTGTTACAGTTAGATTTAGTTAACCATTTCAGATCATCACAGTATTTTTGTTTGGGGTAATAAAATAAATAACACGTGGGTTTGTGTGTAACAGTAAAAATATCATCCCTCGTAAAAATATTTTCCTTGGGATGATATTTTTACTGTTACCCACAAACCCATGTGTTATTTATATATTGTTTACGCTAAGTAGTTTATTAAATTCAAAGGAATTATGACAAAATGAAAACTTGTTTTGACTTTCACCTGTTCACTCACTGTATACCCTTAGGATGGGCATAATGTCACTTTAATTGTCAGTTTAACCAGTTTCATGTTTTATTGTGAAATAATGTTGTATTAGTTTTGTAGCATGCCTGTATATTTTGGTAATGAAAGTTGTGAGCTGTGAAAGAATTCAGAATAAACACAATGCTATGTTTTCACACTTGTATTTACACTAGCTGTTATATAGTTATTAAAATGAACAGGAATGTGACACATGATTTGATAGTAGGAATCATGTTGTGTTACAACCTGTTAAGTAAAGTGTTATACTATTCCACACATTATTCATCTGTCCTTTTTTTCCGACATTTATTCTTAGTAACAGTGTAAAATCTATGGACTATTTTAGAGATTGTCCCTTTAGGCTAGTTTATATATTTATAAATTTTATTAAAAAAAAGAGTGTAAAATAAAAAAGGAGAGAAAATATATAAATAATAATAATAAAGTTTACTATAATAACATATTAAGCCTCCATCCCAAAATACAACACAATACAACAAACATAAAAATGCAATGAAAATACTCTGACTGTGGTGACCGTAAATATACATGGAATTTGGAAGGCCTGCGTATAACCTAAGACTGTAATGTTACTGACTTTTCACATGTGCAGTTTTCTTTTATCATCAAAATAACTGTTTAATTAGCCATTGTTTACTTTTACCTTATGTTATAATGCCAAAAGCAGGTAAAAGTGTTAATGTACAATAATGCAACATGCAATATTGTATAATTCAAAATGAAAATAGAGATAAAACTAAAACAAAATGAAGTGTTATAAAAAGTCTCAGAGAAGAACTTTTTTATAATTAATTTTCATATTTTAACAGTTTTAGTAAGTGCTGAGAATTATGATTGCAATACTAACATTCTATATTTTCAGATGAAACTAGCACCCCAGCTTCTAAAAAAATTAAACTGGAATCACCATTGTCTTCAAAGATCAAACCAAAGTCACCTTATAGTTCAAAGGTCAAGGTAGAAACATCAGCAGATGACAGATCAAGGTCCCCTACAAGGTCAAAGGTCAAGTCAGAATCAAGTTTATCATTATTGAAAGGTTCATCAGAAATGCCATCTACCTCCAAGGTGAAAACGCATTCCCCAACCTCAGATTGTCAAGTCAAGAGAAGGTCAAGGTCGCCATGTCAGAATCCTTCAACTCTAAGAGGAAAATTAAAGATTGCACAGCCATATAATTTCTTTCTCACAAAGGTTGCTGGTATTGCTGACAAGTATAATTCTACATATACAATGGACATAAAAGGTATATAGCAATTTTTTAAACCAAAAATATATGTTTAATGTTGTTAGATTCAGAGTATATGTGTTCCTTATTTAAAGCTTGATATATAATTGTCATCTTCCTATTGAATGATATATTTTGATCATATGCACCCAAGAAACTGCTTATTATTTTTTGATCATATGTACCCAAGAAATTGCAATAAGGAAATTATAATTAGAAATAATAATGTACAAGTACAACTTTATGGACATTCTAAAATGCATCTCGGCGGATGTAAAGACGAGCTTTTAGCATTTAAGCGACTTGTCCAATATATACCAGAATACGGTATTAAGTATGGTGCTCCAACACTTACTTGTATCACAATGTACTGTACATTGAAATCAACATTGTTTAAGGTTATGTATGAAGATAGACGTTGATTTTACACTCTTTTCATAGGATTATTATCTATTGTTTTCAAACATGTCACACATTCTTGTCTAGTATTTATGTTTGACATCATGGATATCACACCACTAAAATGGGAAGTTGTTTTCAAACATTTTCACCATGACTGTTATCATTAATTGTGCTAAATATGTTGTCAGTCATTTTAAAATAAATCACAGGGTAAGAAATAAAAATTTTACAGGCAGATAGGTGTTTCAGGTTAGAGTGTTGCAGTTCTGACTGAATGTGCTATACTGATAAAAACTGTGGAAAAAAACTTGTGACATGTTTATGAAAGGTGATGACTAGTACGGCTGCAAAGAGAATTATTTGGTGACTAAAACCAAGTAACGCCTGACGGCCTTGCTAATAGACTAAATATTACAATAGTTTTTGTGTGCAAGAAAATATAACTACATTTTCTATTCTTTATTACCTATGTGACATATCAATATAACCTATGTTTTTTAGTTTATGCAAATTTATTTTAGTTTGATTGTGTTGGAAGCTATAAGCTTATTGAAACACTCTCGAATCCGTTCCTTGAACCAACCAGTACTAAGCAATGAATGTGACATATCAATATAACCTATGTGACATATCAATATAACCTATGTGACATGATTTATAATATTTCCTATTACTGACATACCTATATTTCCTTTTAACCATATCTATTTATTTCCTGTGTGCCACATATTAGCCATATTTTTATTTCCTATGTGTCACAGTTCCATTTTAGGGGAAAATTTAGCTATCATGTTGGGCAACTGGAAACAGCCTCTCTTTGGCAGTAAAATATAGGGAAAATAATCAGTATGTGTTATAAATATATATATATATACACCATGTTTATATTGCCTAAACTCACTTATGTACCTATGTTTCATATTTGCTAATTGTTATGTAAGATATTGTTTTGTTTTAGATATTTTAAGTGAAGACATGGGCAATCTGAAGGCTTCATGCCAGGTAATCTTGTTGATTGATAGTAATTTAAAAAAATGATACAATATTCTGCTGTACAAGTGCTATGGACCTTCAAGGCTTTAAATTTCAAACTGATTATTATAATACAAGAAAAACAATAAAAGTGGAACAAACAATCAACACAGGATAAGTTTTTAGGTTTATTTAATGATGATAACCGACGTTTCGACTCTCACGAGTCTTCATCAGGGTTATAATATGATAATATAATAATGTCTGATGTTAGAAATTTCAATTAAAAAAATGTAAACATTTATATACAGTATTGTATAGTCTAGCTTGTGCACAGTAAAACCTAGATAAAAAGTAGGGATTTTACAATATATTATAGATGTAAATTTGCAGGATAAAAGACAGTTTATTATTTATTTTTCTAGTTCAATTTCATGTTTGATATACAGTGGCTTATGAAGCAGTACCCACAGAAATTCAGGTAAATGTGTAGTAGTATAAAAGTCTTTATTACATGTTTGATTAATTTACTAAACAAAAAATATTAGATATGATCAAACTAAAGCCTATATTTTTGAGAGTACTACATCTTAGCTGAATCTTGGTGAAATTTGATGCATATGGTTTTGTCCTTATTATTTCCTTTTGTAAAAGTTCACTATGAGACCTGTGGGGTAAACTTACCTTGCTTGCAATATTAGAATAGTTCATATATAATTTAACAAATTATAGTACTCATGTACAACAATTTTACCAGTGGACATTATAAAGTTTGGTTAGACTGAATCAACATGCAGGCTGTCCCAGATCTGTATGGTTACTGTGTCATAGACCTAACTTATTGGGTTAACATTCATAGAGCAGAAAAAAGTGCCCACCAGTGCCAAAAATAATGCATGCAAGGGAAGTTACATCATGTTATATCATGTTTTTACTTCCATCAAAACCAAAAATAATATCTGAAAGCATAGCTTTATAAATACTATCTTAAACTTTCAGATCAAAACCGTTATTGATTGTCCATGGAGAGCAGGGTTCGAGCATGACTGCCCTCCAAGCACAGGCTATATCCTACACTAATATAAGATTCTGTCAGGTAAGTTAGTTTTACTATCATTGTGTAATCATTTACACTTGAACTTTTATTTAATTTTTTAAAGAATGTACAACATACTAAGCAGGTTATGCAGTTCTTAATAAATCATTGTTGAAGGAAATCTTGTCTGAAACTGCTGGTGTTATATTGATCAAAATTTGAACTCTTAAATTTTCCTTACTATAGCTCTTGTATAATTTTATTTGCAAAACAATATTTTCAATATACATGTAATTATTTTCTAGTGCTAAAAGCTTTAAGTAATACAATATTAAACATGAAGCACTAGCTCTGTAAAGTGCACACTTATTTGTATCTTTTTTTTCTAAGATTCATGAAAGAAAAACACTATGATCCAATGATCCAAACTAAGTCACTTGATGTCTTAGATCATAAGCTGAAGGGTGCATTTGATATAATATTATGTTTAGCAATTTCCAAAGTAGGTGGCAAATATCCACCCTTTTGCACTTCCCGGTGGGGGTGGGGGGGAGCAAGTGCCCCCCCCCCCTTCATTGGACATTTATATAGCTTTTTGAATTATCAAGCAAATGCAATATGCTAGACAGATTATTGATATTATAATGAGGTTCTTAGCAAAATAGACAAAATATTCCTGTGGATGTTTACATTTTCTCATACATGTACATGTATTTTTATTGGGTAAAGAATTGTTGAATGTTCTGTCTAGTATACAGTCAACTCCACTTATAACAAACTCTCTTATAACATATTATTGTTAATAGCAAACTAAATCTGACATCCCCGGCCGATTCCTTTTTTATTAACCAGATTTTCAATGAAAACCGGGTTATTGTAATGCCGAAGTCGGCAGGCGGGCGGGCAGGCGGGCGGCGGGCAGGCGTCAACTTTTGGTTTCCGCTCAATAACTTGAGTTTGCTTTGGCCTATTGACACCAAACTTGGTGTGTAGGTAGCTTATATCAAGAGGCAGCTTGGGATTGCTACCCAGGTGTCTGTGATCAAGGTCAAGGTCACTGTTACTAAAAATAGAAATTCAGTTTCCGCTCAATAACTTTTGTTTGCTTTGGCCTATTGACACCAAACTTGGTGTATGGATAGCTTATATCAAGATGCAGCTTGGGATTGCTACCCAGATGTCTGTTATCAAGGTCAAGGTCACTGTTACTAAAAATAGAAATTCAGTTTCTGCTCAATACTTGAGTTTGCTTTGACCTATTGACACCAAACTTGGTGTATGGATAGCTTATATCAAGACGAAGCTTGGGATTGCTACCCAGATGTCTGTGATCAAGGTCAAGGTCACTGTTACTAAAAATAGAAATTCAGTTTCTGCTCAATAACTTGAGTTTGCTTTGGCCTATTGACACCAAACTTGGTGTATGGATAGCTTATATCAAGGGGTAGCTTGGGATTGCTACCCAGATGTCTGTGATCAAGGTCAAGGTCACTGTTACTAAAAATAGAAATTCAGTTTCTGCTTAATAACTTGAGTTTGCTTTGGCCTATTGACACCAAACTTGGTGTATGAATAGCTTTTATCAAGAGGCAGCTTGGGATTGCTATCCAGGTGTCTGTGATCAAGGTCAAGGTCACTGTTACTAAAAATAGCAATTCAGTTTCTGCTCAATAACTTGAGTTTGCTTTGGCCTATTGACACCAAACTTGATGAATGGGTAGCTTATATCAAGAGGCAGCTTGGGATTGCTACCCAGGTGTCTGTGATCAAGGTTAATGTATTTAGTTTTCATGTTATTACTTGAGTTTGCTTTGACCTTTTGACACCAAATTTGCTGAGTGGCAGCTTTGGATTGCCACTTAGATATCTGGGAGCAAGTTCAAGGTCATTTGCTTACAATAGAATTTTCAGCTTGTACTCAATAACTTCAGTGCACTTTGACCTATTGATTGCTGTCACATCAAAACTTGGTCGTTGAAAACCTAGTTTTCGTCGCATTGCGGCGCTTCTTGTTTTATATAAAATCACATCGCTTAATACGTACTCGCTTAAAACGAATTTTCGGCTATAGCGAACCATTTTTCAAGTCTCAAACCACCAAAAACATGTAAATTCCTTTGGTTAAAACATAGTATTATAATTGAAATATCCGCATCTCTCGATTAAGATCAGTACATGAATACCGCTATTAGATAATTATTCAATCAAGTGATTGCACAGGTAAAAATAAAGATATTGATAAAAAGTTCTCAGAACATAATTTCCTACTTGTTACGGAAAAATTGTATTTTGCACCCTCAGTTGATAAATTGCTGTAAATACCCGATAATTACTAATTAACCAATTTTTTGTTTGCAATATTAACCTAACAATAACAAACAAATATTAAAAGAATACAAATGGTAAGCATTTTGTAGACAAGTACTACATGTCTATTACATGTATCTTGTACATAATATATTGTTCAATAAAATAACCTGCATTAAATTACCGCTGCCGTAAAATACTGATTATACTGGTACCCAGTGACAGGTGTGCCTTTTGCATGGCAAATTTACCCACCCAAACAAGTCAGCAAGTTGTCCTACTTCGTTTCTAGCGAACTTCGGATATAACAAACAATATTTAAACGTCCCATTGAGTTCATTATAAGGGGTGTAAACTGTATTTTATTTGTTCATTGTACTAATACTTTGATTTACTGTGGTATTAGGCACATTAACTGTGGTCATAGGCACATTTATTGTGGTCTAAAACACATTTACTGTGGTGTTAGGTACCTTAATGTGGTCTTAGGCACATTTACTGTGGTGTTAGACACATTTACTGTGGTGTTAGGTGCATTTACTGTGGTCTAAGGCACATTTACTGTAGTCTTAGGCTAATTTAATGTGATTTTAGACACATTTACTGTTTCTTTCAACACATCTACTGTGGTCTTAGGCACATTTATTGTCTTAAGTACATTTACTGTGGTCTTAGACACATTTACTGTGGTCTTAGGCACATTTAATGTGATCTTATGGACATTAATTGTGGTCGTATTGCACATTTACTGTGGTCTTATGCACATGACTTTATAGTGGTCTTATGTACATTAACTGTGGTCTTAGGCATATTTTTGTGATCTTAGGCTCATTTGATTATTTTATTTTGGAAATATAGACAGCATAACTTGCTCTTAATTACACTTGTTGATAATTTGACAATTGCAGCAATCCAACATAACATATCTGTCTGGTCTTGTATTTTTAAAAACAGCTATTTATGTAATTTGGATCCATTTGTAATAACACTGACTAACATTTTGATGTATGTTAAACAAACAATGCTAATACTATCATGGTTTATTGATTATCAATAGAGTATGTACAATAAATAATTTCTGTTGCTTATAAAATTTGTTAAATTAGCTCATTTCAGAAACTTTATCAAATATGTAAGTAGTATCAGTAAATTTTTATTATTAGCTGTATGCAGTATCAAGTTTGTCCTGATGTGTACATATTTAATTTAATACTTATGAATAAAAGGCGGGTGAAAACAATAACAGATAACAAAAATGGCTTATGCTTATCCTTCACCAAAAAGATCCGAGAAATTGTTACGTTTAAAGGGAAAATGGATATGATTGTAGTGCCTGAAAACAAATCGGTACCTGAAATAAATGTACATGTACCTGTCAAAAATGTTTGAGGTAAAGTGTTCTTCATTAAGTGAAATTTTGTCTTGAAAGACAATTTATAGGGATCGACTTGTAAATATCATTAGACTTAAAGTGAAAAAAATTGTGGTTATAATTGAATAAAATTGATATACATATTAATAATTTTATTATGTAAAATAGATTCTCCTTCTGAATATATGAAAATGATCCTTGCAATATTGATGTATCTTGTAATATCTGACATAACTCCTTTAACTGACATTACCAGTTTAAGTCAGTTTTTACTTCAAGTCATAGACCTGTAGATAGTTACTGTCCATTTTAGCTTGAATGTATATCTTCCTCTCTAGATAGCTCATTCCACATGGATTATTAAGTCCATCTTTACTGCATAGAATCACACCTTTGTCAGTGCCACTTGGTGACAGGAGGTGAACCGTGTCAGTCTCGTATTCAACAACATATATATTATCATCTTCATCTGAGGTTATATTTCTTGGATCTCGAAGCTGCTTGGTATCTTTATGGCGGAAACTTATACCCCCATCTACATCTATGCCTGAAACTGTACCAGACCCTGCATCAGATATCAGTAGAACCTGTCCCTTCTTAATGGATGAGAGGTACCATGGTGAGGTCAGTCGTAGTTCTCCTTCAAAACCATCTCTAATGTTTCTGTGAGTGTTTCCAAACTGATCAAGTAGCTTTATAGAAAATATGCCTTCATTTTTAACACTGACAGCCACACCACCTTTCCAGCTTGTAATGCCAAAGCACTCTCCATCAACCTTTACAGTTAATACATACTGTATGTCTCTCCCTACTTTAAATTGGTGGATACCTCGAACTCTGTTTTCTGTCACATATAAATCTTGATCTATGTTTATAGCCTTGCACATATCCCATGGTTCCTTCTTCAAATTGAATATTGTTATGTTGTCAAAATGTTTGTTAAACAGTTTTAAACATTTGTTGTTTGCATCAGCCAGAACTACTTTCCCATTATTGTATACAACACATGCACAGATAAAACATTTCATGACATCAGTTCCCAGTCTCACCTTAGCTTCTTTAATTAGGTCGACATCTCTGTCATCAGGACTGTCCCCCCTGGTATCAAGCCTGTCAGTCTTCGGACCGTCATACTCGAACGAAGCACTACCATTGCCTATCATATCAAGATAATTCCGGCTCATACTTCTCCCTTGTTTTTTGTCTTTCCTCATGGCGTGTTGATATCTTTCCATCATTTCATTACCTACAATAACACCATGGTTTAATGTCAGTAATGTACTCTCATGTTTTTTGACACAGTTGCTACATAAAAAATCTTTACACACTTTACAGAAGCCATAAGCATCAGTTATTAGACTGTTTTTGATACACCTGGAGCAGAACAGCTCAGTGCTTGGTTTGAATTTCTCTTTTACTGCGGTGTAGTCTCTGTAACTTGCAGGCACGTATCTCCGTACACCTTTTGTTGGGACAGGTGTTGGAACACTAAAAGCCATATCTGATCTCCTTGATGAATACTGCTAAAGATGTTTAAAGTGTAAATGTGATAGTTTTTGATAATTACTATACATGGTTTACATAGTTTTAAGTCTTTTTTCACTGAAATTTACTCCATAATCTGTTATATCTTGATTCACATGTAAGATTTTTAATTAAAATATATTTAACTGTACACAAATTATCCTTAGTCAGTAAACTACATTTATTCCATTTTTTGTAAACCTTGATTGAAACACAATAAATGTATAATTTCAATACTTGATATATCCAGTGTTATGTTTAACTTGCTATTTATATGTTTTCTTTGATTTAAAAGAAAATATTTATTTTAGTTTCAATCCTGTTTTCATTAGGGCATTTAACAGGTAATTTCAACGTTGAATAAAGATATATAGCAATTGATAGGACTTTTAAAATCTTTTGAAATTTTACGAAGATATCGTTGCCATTTTGAAACTATTCCAAATCGTGTAAGTGTGACATTATTGGTTTTTAATAATGAAAATCGTATCATCTTGACATTAGTAATAGAGCGTTCAATCATTTAAATCAATACACAACACAAGGAATTTACTCTTGGCAAAATTTCCATATCTTTTAAATCTTTTTTACACACAAAATATTATCTCTCCTGTTATGCTAGATGAAAAATTACAATTAAACTTTTTTTAAAGTACATTTTTTGTTACACATAAAGAATTGATTTGAAATTTACTTTAGACTAATTTTTACATAAGTCAAAAATAAACTTAAAAAAAAGTATATTTACTTACTCATTTTTTAAGGAACAGTCCTCCTTTACAAAAGTAAAGAATTTGAAGTGACATTTAGCATTTGGTTAGATTTTTTTTAGGCATATTCAATTACTTGATTTGTACAAAGTAACCAAATGCGTATGTCCTTTTAATTTCATAAAATTACTGAGTTTATGTCAACCTATTATCAATCCTCATTACATAGACATGTACATACAGAGTAAATACTACTTAGTTTTGGGTTAAAATTTGACCTCCTTTTCAATTTCAAAAACTGTGCAATACACAGTCTGCAGGCAAATTGACTAATTTAGATATTGTTTGTAAAGTTTATTAACTGTAGGATTTCATCATAATTAAAGTGTAAGCCACAAACAGTTCTTGAGGTTGGTAAATCTGCATATATTGAAAGGCAGGGCCTGTCTGAGAGGTTAATCTGCACAGATTGTAAGGTAGGGCCTGGTTGAGAGGTAAATCTGCACAGATTGTAAGGTAGGGCCTGGTTGAGAGGTAAATCTGCACAGATTGTAAGGTAAGGCCTGGCTGAGAGGTAAATCTGCACAGATTGTAAGGCAGGGCCTGACTGAGTGCTAAATCTGCACAGATTGTAAGGTAGGGCCTGGTTGAGAGGTACATCTGCACAGATTATAAGGCAGGGCCTGGCTGAGTAGTAAATCAGCACAGATTTTAAGACAGGGCCAGACTGAGTGCTAAATCTGCACAGATTGTAAAGTAGGGCCTGGTTGAGAGGTAAATCTGCACAGATTGTAAGGCAGGGGCTGGTTGAGTGGTAAATCTGCACAGATTGTAAGGCAGGGCCTGGCTAAGTGGTAAATCTGCAAACAGATTGTAAGGCAGGGAAAAATCAGTACTGTAGTTGATTATAGCAATATAAAGGTGTGACAAGGCAATGTGTTACTCTCTTTAGTTCTATTTTTTGTAGTTGATGAGTGATACAGGGCCATGATGGCCCACATGTCAAGAAATGATGTTTTTGTTCCTATAATGATCTTAGGTTGAAACATTGAGTAACTTGTAGCCTTGTTGTTACATAAACAAAACAAACATGCTTGATAAAGTGTGATCCCTTGGAAGCATTAATCATAACAAAATTACATGAAAATTGCAGACTCGGTTTGAGTGAGTCTGTACATGAGAGATAATGATTCAGTGTATCATCCCTCATGCCTCCTAGCACTGACTTAAGCGATACACAATTCTCAACACGCTGGAATCAGTCATCTCCGAAGGACCAAAAAATATAACGACACTGAAGACTCAATTGTATTAGTGTTATCCAGTAAAAATTTCATACAGTAATTATTTTCAAGTCTTATGTTTTTCAGGCAAAGTTAGAAATGATGTATGGGACACATCACACGTGAGTTGATTCAACATTCTACATAATGTTATAACTTAAAGCAATTTATTACCATTTTAATTATAAAATTTAAACACATGTCATGATATCTTTTATGTTAATTCCAATAAAAGTGACCTATAACATTCAGGAATCAAACCAAAGTTGCCCAACTCACAGTCCAACACTCTCCCAATTAACTTTATTGGGCAGTGCTTTATGACAACTAACCTTCTGGTAAAGGAAGCTTGCTGTATACCAGCTTGCTGTAACATGCATAATTTCATGTAAACCTGAGCACTCCGGTATAACCACCAACCTTATATATTTCCAATGGAGAACTACTAAAGAGTCTGGTCAGCTCTAATGTGAAGGCTCATCTGGCTGTACACTGCAAGTAAATTCCATAGATAAGATGGAATATTGTGAATTATATACTGTTTTATTTATTATGTCTACAGAAAGATGATGTTACTACTGTATGAGGAAGGATTAAGGGTTGTTATTCATACTTCCAACCTTATACAACAAGACTGGCACCAGAAAACACAAGGGTATGTACTTGTTCACAAGTTTTTCTTTGTAGTAACTCAATGATAAGTGATAAATATTCTTGATCTTAGACTTGATCTTATTCTTGATAAAGGTAATCATATCATAATGAAATCATATTAGCTTGTTGATGTGTCATTTAAAATAAACCAGGTCATTTGGTCAAATTAAGTCGAATAATTATTTTCATGCTGGAAACTGTTAAATCCATCAACTTAAGTGACCAAGGGCCATCTATGGTTTTCTTTTAGCATAAACAATAGAAATATGTTCAGAATTAGCCAGGATTGCTTAACATTGAAGGTTAAGGATAACAATTGTATATTTGTATATAATTCGGATTATTCCATCTCATGACATTTATATTATATGGACTTGTATGATTTTGCAGTAATGTATTGGTGAAAACATGTTTTGTATGATTAACAGAATGTGGATAAGTCCATTGTTTCCGAAGTTATCCGAGGCTAGTAAAGATAGAGGTGATAGTGTGACACATTTCAAGAGAGATTTGATAGACTACATGCAAGCCTACAAGGCTTATCAGTTAAAGGAATGGATAGATCATATAGCTGAACATGACCTGTCGACAGCAAGGTATGTCCCAGTGAACTGAACGTTAAATTAATATTGTGTAATATATAACTAGTAATGTATCAATTTCGGTATTCATTATTTAAGGATTTTATTTGGCTATATATTTCAAAGGAAAAAATTTTGAGCTAGTGTCATGTCAAAAATCCTGGAGTAAGGGTTACAAATGTCATTGTCTAGTGCATACAGAAAATGGCCAAAAAGTTACCAAATATTTTCAAGCTATTGATGAATAGGATACATTTAGATCTTGTCTCAAAATAAAGTGTCCCTGGTTTTAATTAGTGCATATTATGATTAAAAAAAAAATCACTAATTGAGCAAACAAATAAGTTAAGAAAAGAAATGTAAGGCAATAGCGGTTGAGATATTTTGGTTTGAGAGGTTGATCTGAGAGTTTTTCCAGTAAGGAACAGACTTTCATATCAACAAAGTTTATTAAAATAATGTGTAACATGATTTTTTTTCATATTTACAGGGCTGTAATAATTGGTTCAGTGCCAGGTAGACATGTAGGGGACAAGACTAAGTCCATGTGGGGCCATCTGAAACTTAGAAAAGTTCTACAGGAACATGGTCCTACACAGGGAACTGTAAAAACATGGCCTGTGATTGGTCAGTTCTCAAGTATAGGGTCAATGGGGCCAAATAAGGAGAACTGGTTATGTGGGGAGTGGCAGCAGTCACTGTCAGCAACTAGATCAGGAACTGGACCCCAGAGTCAGTCCCGGCTACAACTGGTGAGATTCTATTTTTACTCATTCAATTTTAACATATTCAGACAGTATGGCATAAACTTTTGGATTTAGAATACAAAATTTGTTATACTCGTAGCTAATGGTTGTTAAAAAATTTACTGTAGGTGATGACATCAGGAAAGCTCTCCTGATACATGTATGTTACTAAGTTGTCATAATTATTACAAATATAGTTTCTTTGTCTGTAAAATGGTTCAAATGTATGTTTTGTAAAAATTATACAAATAAACATCTTATCTTTCAAACATTTTGTAACTTTTTATTTAGATATTTCCAAGTCGTCATAATGTACGTCTGAGTTTAGAGGGTTACCCAGCTGGTGGAAGTATACCATATACAACAAAAACTGCCATGAAACAACAATATCTGCATGACTTCTTCCAGTAAGTGTGAAGTTTTATAATTTAGTCCTTGCATACTAAAATTGAAACTTCTCAAACACTTCAAAGTTACAATCAGTATAGAGATAAAACAAATGGCAAAGTCTGACTAGGCTCTATACTGCTGGTTGCATTGTTCCCAACTTCATTGTAATGTCTCTTTAATCAATTAAGGACTGCTTGAAGTTCAAACTGGCCTTATAAGTCATACTTTCTTTGTGTTCCCACTAAGTGGGAAGGTGGGCATATATATTTGTCTGTAACAATGTCCTGCTGTCATTCTTAATGTCTGGTCTGTACACTAACAAAACAGTAGAGTATGTGGCCATCCATGTCCTATAGACACATTTTAATTTACATGGTTAATTCAGGGGTTAAAAATCTGTGATAATATGTATTAAGTTTAGTACATTTTTCACAGACTATTAAATGTGTCATATGATTTGTGAACATATGTGCATTTCTTGATTTTTGAAGAGCATAATATTTTTTTACTCTTTGAGTTTTTGAAACTCTTTGTTTATCTATGTTTAAATTTAAAGTTCTTATGATATAAAGTTAAGGATGATATTTGATATAATTTCTGAGATTAGTATGATACCTATGCTAATTGTAATATTTTGGTACATCTGGAGGCATGCAGCTTTAAAATACATGTACTACAATATAGTTTGATTTGATTATTACAGTGTATGGAAAAGTGAAGGTAGAGGTAGAAGTAGAGCTATGCCACATATTAAATCATACGCCAGACCCATGCAGGATGGCTCAAAAGCAGCCTGGTTTCTGGTTACTAGGTAAGTTAACTGATTTACCATATATTTAGACGTGGCTCCTTAATTGCTTCTTTATATCAGAAAACCATAACAAACTTATTTTGAAAGTAAGTGTAATACATTGAGATGATAAGCGTTTTTTTTTTTGCCTCGTTGTAATTTCCATTATCCTACCAATTATGTAAATGGTCATGTCAGAGGCGCGTTAGTGGCAAAGTGGTAGTGGTTGTTGACTTCAAACCACTTGCCTGTCGCGGCTGTAGGTCCAAGCTGTGCAAGCATCCTCAGATTTTATCATTTCAAAAAGCTATGGTGTGTTCTACTCAGTTGCCCCTTTGTGCTGTAAAAATGCATGGACGAGCACCCGAGGTTCGTCATATGGCCGTTAGTGCAACACGAAAAACCGGACCAAAAAAAGAAAGAGTGGACATGCTATATGCTTTTGAATTGGAAAGTTCTAATAAAATGTTATATATAAAGCTATCGTATTACTGTTGTATCATATGACAAACTGTATACTGAAGTATACTGACAATAAATGGAAGCCTCTTACAAAAATATAAATCTCAGCATATTGGGCACTTTAAAACTTTCAGTAGTTTGCATGTTATGTGTTAGATATTCTATATCTAATTTTATTATTAAAATATGTTATACAAATATGTTGGCTATACTGAAGGTTTTGTTAAGATTTGATATAAAATGACTTAATTTAATGTTATGACTACAATGGTATTTATTTCAGTGCTAATTTATCAAAGGCTGCATGGGGAGCATTGGAGAAGAAAGGGGCACAACTCATGATTAGATCATATGAAATTGGTGTTCTTTTCTTGCCAAAGTTTTTTGTAAGTAAAATTGAAAATCTTTAAAGATTCCGCTAGTGATACATCAAATAACTCCTACAATTAACACAGAAGAGTAAATATTTGTCAATATACCTATAGATGTTTTGCCCTGTGCAGGGCTGATATATTTTAAATAATGACTTGATTGTTGATTCAGTGTTATAAGTGAAATGCCAGTTTGTCCTTGGCAAAGCAAGGGTGTTATTTCAGTTTGAGGTTTCCTAATATGCACTATTACCCTGTGAGACAAGTGGTGATTTTTAGTCCCCTACCGGTTTACCGGAGGGGACTTTAGGTTAACCCTCCGTTCGTCTGTCCGTCCGAGCAAACATTTTGGGTTTAGAGGCTATATAACAGTAAAGAGAACAAAAGAGAACAATAGGTTCATTCCGTGATCAAAGGGTTTATGGGCTAGTAGCCCTTAAGAAAACAAAGAAAATAACAAAGAAAATAGCCCCTAAACCCAAAATGTTGGAACGTCCGTCAGTCCACAAAACTGGATCCCGTGATAACGCAAAAAGTACTGAAAATATTTTTATGAAACTTGATATATGGATAGATGGCAGTATGGAGATTATGCACGTCTTTTTCTTTTCTTTCTATGCTGAATATTCTGGTTGCTATGGCAACAAATAGACTGAAAATATGCAAAATTAACACATAAACTGGATCCAGTAATAACATAAAAAAGTACTGAAAATATTTTTATGAAACTTTAAATATGGGTAGATGGCAGTCTGGAAATTATGCACATTTTTTTCTTTACTTCCCATGTTAAAAATTCTGGTTGCTATGGCAACAAATACACTGAATTTCAAGATTTCTGGTTCCGATTTTTACGCTTTTTCATTATAACTTCTTTATTTCTTAAGGTATTTACTTCAAACTTTAAATATTAATTTCTGGTCATCAACCACATCATATGTGACAAGGTTTACAACTCTAGCACAAATATTATCAGAATTACCTCCCTTGAACTTAGAATTTTCATGAAAAAAATGTTTTTTTAAATAACTTCTTTATTTCTTAATGTATCTGCTTCAAGCTTCATATGTATGTTTCTTATTATTGCTCAACATATGTGAGAAGGTTCAATACTCTAGCAAAACTATTTTCAGAATTATGCCCCCCTTGAACTTTTTCGAGAAATTGGTATTTTTTACTCCCAACTTCTTCATTCCTTTTAGGATTTACTTCAAACTCCCACATCATAATAATATGACAAGATTTTTGCAACAAATTTACTTAAAATAGAGAAAAGTTGAAACATTTGTTATACTTATTCATCCTGAGAAAATTGGACCTTTTGATTATCTGTTGTATAAACATAATTTCCTTACTTGGCAGGGAAACTAACACATTACTATGATATATACAAACTTAGAACTCAAAAGATTTAAGTTCATTGATGTCATTCATTCATTCAATGGTATAATTGAATGGCCAATGGCCCATCAGAATGTTGCTGGGGTTCTAACCGGTCGGGGACTTATGGATTGCTTGCAATACTATGATAATTGCTTGTTTATTATACCAAACCAACATTTTAATGTATTTTTTCAATGCTATGCATTATTACTTAAAGAGCCATTTATCATTGATTTTTTATCAGGGGAGAGGACTGGAACATAATGTTTTCTTAAGTCTATATAGATTACCTGCCCCTGGGGAATATTGCAAAAAATAAATTGACCAAGTTATATTCATTTCAAAGAAGAAAGATACAAATAACAGATAGTAATGTCACATTAGGCTATACATTGTATAGTAAAAGGTTTACATGAGGTATAGTAAGTAGAGTTAATATATAGCTCCGTTCATATATCAATGTTCAGTGTGGTATATATCACATAACAATGTTCAGTGTGGTATATTTCACATATCAATGTTCAGTGTGGTATATTTCACATATCAATGTTCAGTGTGGTACATTTCACATATCAATGTTCAGTGCGGTATATATCACATATCAATGTTCAGTGTGGTATATTTCAGGATGAAGGGGAGATTTTCCCTATCACATCAGATCCAGAGAGTGCGGCCACCACAAACAAATTCCTTCTTCCATATGATCTCCCTCCAACCATTTATGACAAGACAGGTATAGTAGAATATTTCTATCTGTAAGGAGTTCATACACCAAAATTATTATGTTAATTGTTGAAATGATGGTTTGCAGTTAGCAATAATTGTTGAATGAAAGGGTTAAAAGGTGCTCCACTCTGATCCAAAAGCCTAAACAGTGTAATTACAAAAAGGCTAACAAAAATCAACTAATGTACAAAAGATTTTAAAGAAATAGACTTTTAATTAAACATTGAAAACTGATTGTTTTTTTTTGTGATCCTCAGTCTATTATGAATTAAAAGCATTCAAATGGTATTCATTTTTTTCCCAGTCATTTTGCACATTCAAAATTATTTTTCTTGGAAAATCAGAGTCAGCAAATGATCTGAAATTTTGCACACAAGTTATTGGTACTACTACTTCAGACGTCCATCACATGGTACACAAACCCCAAAGAAAATTTTACACCCGTGTCAGTGGAGTCCCTTAAATGTTTTCACTTGACCAGTACTGTGCTAAATATGTATAAATAACTTACTTGTCCTGTGGTAAATATAGAACTGTTCTGACATTGTTAATATGAGGTCATTTGATATATAAATGTTTAAAAGCATAAGGTCTGAAAATATGTTGACACTTACTTGACTATTTACTAGTGGTAAAATCCAGTCATTATCAATGTGTACAACGATACCAGTGTAGTATCACATTATTGACATCAGATTTTGTGTTATAAACCTTGTTACCACCATACCAGATACAACTTATGTTGTCGTTCAATGCTTTGTTTTCTAGTAACAGGATAGTGCTGCAGAGGCATCTTATAAATGAGCCACGTCACGACAAAACCAACATAATGCGTTTGCATCCAGCATGGATCCAGACCAGCCTGCGCATCCGCGCAGTCTGATCAGGATCCATGCTGTTTGCTTACAAACCCTATAGTAAGTAGAGAAACTGATAACGAACAGCATGGATCCTGATCAGACTGCGCGGATGCGCAGGCTGGTCTGGATCCATGCTGGTCGCAAACACATGTTGGTTTTGTTATGGCGCGGCTCAAATAACTAACTGCATAAAAGTACTGGTGATAATATAGATTGACTTACATGTACTATACAAATATATATAAACTGTACATGTATATTTTCCAGACCGCCCATGGATGTGGGATATACCATATATGGATCTACCAGATACAAATGGAAATGTATGGTGCCCTTTCTCAAAGTGAACAACTTCTCTACAACCTTGTCTAGCAGAATATTCCTAACATCAGGATAAATATTTATGGATTTTAAAAAAGTTGCAAAATGTAATTCTAGTTACCTCCCTTTATCTACCAGCAGTTCATCTGACTTGAAAAGGATAATGAGGGTTGATCGCAAAACTGTTGTTAGTCCGTTATTTCATAAAAGATACTTTTTTAGTGGTCAGCCCTGGATAAGGCAACATTTAAGGTTAATCAAAGATGCAGTGTCACTTTTATAATGCTTTTTTCAATTGTCACAAATATCCTTGCTGATTTACCAACCTTTAATTGTTATAATCTTGATGGTTTGAAAGTATGTATTATAGAAATTATAGCTAATTTGAAGTGTGTGACCTATAAGTATTGATGTTTTTCATAATTATAAAGTGCTCTGTTAATCATAAAGATTATACATTAACATTTGATTATGTGCAATAGATGGTATAAATATGTTTATAATGAATTTGCTCTTGCCAATAAAATCTACCACGAACATGTTGTTCATTCGATATTTAAGTTCAATTCATTCTTTTAAATTTCTTCAACTTACTGTCAATTATCAACTTTTGCACCCTTCTACATTTACATATTTAATGAACTGGATATGTATTTTCTTGGAATAAATTGTTTGTGTAATGATTTCACATGTTGTTTTCTTTTAAAGCAAGCCTGCCTCTAAGATTCCGGCCTATTTTCATGAAAATTTTGAAAATGTAAAATACAATGTATTGTGTTCAAACATAGAATTTTACATATTGCAAAGGGCACTTACAGTCCACATAAATTACCAAAGAGGTCAAAATGTGCATAAATAGCCTGCCTTTTGGTCATGCAGTAGAAATAAGGTGTTAAATATAACAAAATTGTCATTATTGCACATAACATGTAAATAATTACTTGAATTTTTTTTTCTTTTCTTAAAATCTTAGTGCATTTTTTCAATTTTGTTTTTCTTTAAATATTTTGGCTCATCTGGAGGCATACAAATTTGAAGAATATTTAAACATTTGTTTATCGGTCACTAGTAAGACTGAAATACAAGGAGTTGTGCATCTTCAACAGCAGAGATAAAATAACTCGGTCATGTTACAAAAATCCTGGTCAAAAGAGATTTTGTCAATAAAGAACACTAGTATAAGAAAAGCTGTTTTAATTTCTATATAAAACATTGTGTGTTTTACACATACAAAAACGTATAAAAGCATAATAAATGAACATAATGGAATATTTTAGAGCAAATTACAAAATAATAACATACATAAGGCATTTTATTGTAAGACATGTCTGTAATTAAGGAATTTTCTATTAATACATCAGTTACATTTAAACATACTTTTGCCATGGTAAAATAAGACATTAGAGTTCCAAAAAAGGTGAAGAAGATTTTGTTTAATACTAAAACATGAGGGCATCAATAAACTTAACATTAATGATACGTTTTGATGTTTTTTTATACACTACTGGACACATATTAACTGAAAATACACGATTTGATGTATACTATACACTCGTGAACACGTGTTCTGAAAATAAAGTATGAATAAACATGTGTACCTTGATTTCCTACCAGAAAACAATGAGACCAAAAGTGTCTCTCTTTTATTGTATAAAAACCATTATAACAAAATAGATAAATAATAATAGCAATATGTAAACAATAACTTTAAAGCAATGTCTTATAGGAAGTGTTTAGTTTTCCTCAAAATTCAAAGTATCACTGAAAAACTTTAGGAAGACAAGTTTATGTCTCCAAAATTTAATTTAATTTATATTGATACAAGATTTACTTGTAACACATTAAAGAGACTTTTTTATAGGTGTCATTCAAAGCTTTTTGAGGAAAACAACAATTTCATGATATCGCCTCAAGATAACAAATATATGTATTATATTTTACATGACGTTTCGAATGATACGTATTTGTATTACAAACATTAGTTCCATAAAGTCAAGTATAATACACAATGATCACCGCCTTTTAATGTGTTAAACAGTTTGTTAAGATCATTACCAACTCATTTGCCATTTACAGTTTCAGTTCCAGATTGGAAAGCTCTTGTGACTCTCATAGCTTTTATGACTTTCTCTTTAATCGACGATATCCTTTTAACAACAATTTTATTTGTTGGATCTATGTCAAGATTGGATGTGTCGGTGACAATTTTAGCTTTAATAAGACCACTCATGATTGCGTCAGTAATTGGTATCCTTTCACGTGTCACGTTATTCACGTACACGCCTTCCTCCGCGTCTAATAGACCTCTATTCATGGCATCATGGAATGACACTTTGGCTTTTTGTTTTTGATCTACTACAGAAGTTACAGCATATGTTTTAGTTTCTTCAACACCATCCTCCTGTTCTTCTCCATGGAATTCTGCTTTTATAAGACCACTTTGTATAGCGTCGCTTATTGACATTTCACCAGATTCTGTCTTATATGTAGTATTTTCTTGGTTCAATATGCCTGAAAAAAATAGTGTTATAGGATTTCTTTTAAAATCGTTGCAAATATTCAAGAAAAAAAGGATAATGAGTGTTTTATGAGCATTTAACAGTATGCCATAAAACACTGTAGTTCACCACACTCCAAATGTTTACATTTATTTATTTTATTACATGCTTGGGATAGAGAAGCGTCTTATATCAGAATATTTTTCTTTACACATTATCCATCTTTCTATTTTAGACGTTTGACAAAATAAAACATAACGCCTGACTGAATACACCAAACCGTTGTACATATACATAAAATACTTCAAACCTTTTTTGTAAGCTCTTTTCACGGAAATTTCCTCATCTGTTGCTGGATCTATAACGCCATGAATAGTGTATGGCCTCGTTTCCACTAATGTTTTGATTGTTATAATACCATAGGATGATTTCTCTTCTCGAATCTTCTTCTGAGATTTAAACTCTACAATGATATCTCCATCCGCCATTGCTTTCTGTAGTGATGATGTTTCTCCCGTAGTGATATCAATGTAAAGACCTGCAATAATAACATCATCTGTCATTACAGCTACTCAAAATATTACAACTTTGTCAGGTTGACTTCCATTTGATATAAAATATTTATTGCAAAATAAGAAAAGATCAATGAAATAAAAAGTAAATAAGAGAAACCAAGAAATTGCATGGATATTTGTTGTTCCTCGTTGTCGACAAGCGTCTCTGGTAAAAATGCTTTCTTGCAGTATTTTGTACATCTTAACCAAAGATGTTTGCAAGTCCGAAGGAAAAATTAGAAGAATGCAACCTCCTTTTCATGTTTCAATTTTTCAACAAGGTCACTCATCTCCAATTCTGATTCTTCGGGAAAAAATCCCATAAACTTTACCAAAGCTATTGTTATAGCTGCATTTGACATCCTTACCTGCAGCTTGATCAATTATTCCCGCCAAAACTGCTTCTTGAAGACTAATATCCTCAAGCGTTTTCGGATGAAGAACGCTTTTAATGATGAAAGTATGACTGACTTCTTCCATGGAGCTCGTCACTTGATCAGTTGTCGTCTGCTGACGTTTTCTTATTTCCGTTAGATCAGAAGACGCTGACCAGTCGTCGTCAACATCTATAGAAGCGGCTGTTGATAACAAATGTCGGTCTCTCAGCGCCGAATCACTAGTACCATCGTTGTCGTCAAGTCCCTGATGATGAAAATGAAATCATTTACATTCTCAGATTTTTATAACACTAAATAGACATGGTGTCATATGTTGCCCTGGTGATGTGCTGGCATGTTTAACTATGCGTGTGCATCAATTATAGTATGTATATGCTTTTTCTGAAATTCATCCATTAATATTCAATAGTTTAGCTAGTGTTAAAAAGAAAATTTACAAAAATGTACTGGCTTCTAACAATATAAATTTATCTTTATGTTCATACACTTCATTATGTAATTTCTCGTACGATAATTCCAAATAAATATAAACATTAAGTTAACCAATCACTAACTTCTTTCTTCAGTTTTGACATTGCGTCTGACACAGTGCTGTCAGTTTTTTCAACAGTTGTTGATGACATTGTTTCCTCTACGACACCGTCTGATAACTTTGTTTTTGGCGTCTCGTAAAGCGTCAGTGCTGCTTCCGCCTTATAAGTTTTCCCGCCATCTTTAGGTACCGTAAGATTTGTATCCCAAAACCTATCAACATAAATTGACATAAAACTGGAATAAAGTCATAAAATAAGATCAAGTACATTTTGATTACTTCCTTTGTCAAATGCACACGTATATGTCCAACAGACATCCAGTCGTACCATTTAGCTGTACCAGTAAGTTTGTCAAAGAATTGGAGATGATAGGAGATAGTGCGGGAATTCTGGGAGTAGATAGTACCTCAAATGTTCAAATTTGCTATCCATCAATGGTAAAAGATTTATTATATGACAGTAAAAGAAATAAGATTTTATCCACAATGTTATGCAAACAATATTAAGGTAGGCCTAAAGCCTATGGTTCCAAATTAATAATTAAACATATTCAACTCTTACATAAGTGTCGAAACTAACGACTTGGCCTTTACATATCTTATAACGTCAAAGAACAGCGCACGTATACTAGAAATTATAATATAAAAACATACCTAACAAAATGTGCAGTAGATTTATATTTTAACTGGTCCCATCTGTCACACACTAGAATATACCTTGGCTGCATAAGAACTTCAACGACAACCTTGTACGTTTCCCAGTATGTCCAAAACTCCTAAAATATTCATCAACATATAAAGATGTTACATTTTACAGCCAAGATATCAAATTTTATACTAAGAAATGCAACCCTTTCTCGCTAAATGACATTGTGTTCTCGTTCAGATATTGTGATTTTCTCCATTCACACAGTCATGATGCCTTTTTATAATAATGATTAAGGCGGGAGAAAGTATTTCACTTCCGTTTTTTGTTGGGCTTTCATGTACATATTAATATGCCAAGTAAAGCTACTGTAAAACATTTATAATCCCTCACAAAGTGTTCCAACCATGGAGTACTTTATCTCTTTATTTTTGTGCACATAATTACAAGGGAAGTTATTACAATAACAGTTAAGCTGAAACAGTTATGGGGATAGATGAGATCAGAAAAAAATGTTTTCAATGATATAAGTAGGAAAGCGCGACTTTTGGACTGAAATTCCGACAGAGATATAACTTAATTGGCCGAACAGTGATAACCAAATAGTGTGTTTAATGAATACCTGATAGTGATTAAACATGTCTTCCAACATTCTGACCTGAATCACAACTTCTCCGGATGTACCATTAGCTAAAATATATACATGTATATTATAATGTTGTAGCTATATTGTGTAACGTTACATTGTTATAATAGGCATTTTGAAAGTATATATGGTACCAGTCATAGACAGGTTATATGGTCTTCTATAAACGGAAATAAGATTATATAACCGGAGTCACTAGGCAAAGGTCAAATTGTAAACAGCCGTGTGTACATGGTCATATAATATGTCAAAAAAGAGATATAAATGATGTTCGAGACTACAAGTGTGCAATTACTTTTACCAAATGATCAATTATCAATAGAAAGACATAAATGCAAACAGGATGTGGTTTTTTCTTAACAAAGATGAAACAAAATTCTTTTTTTTTTCCCCAAAAACTAAAATATAAATGGTAAACTTAAATAACAATAGCCAATTAAACGATCCAGGACTTCCGGGGGCTAAATGTCTCAACTTCATATGCCATGGAAAATACGTACATGTATGAAGTGAACTTTTTAACAATAAATATAATAGCAAAATATTACTTTTAAGCACAAATATTACTTTTTAGCACAATTTGTTTTAATATTAACCTATCAGAGAATGTCCACAAAATATTACAAACCTTAAATGTGTTACTGGTCACGTGGTCACTCACACTGTGTTGTATGTAATAACTTGAGAGAGTGAAATAAGCCTGTTTTAAATATGAAAGACTTACATGATGGTTTTCCGTCTTTTGCTTCTTCAAGTATTGTTCGCAATCTTGAGATTCGCTCTTGTAAATCCTCGAACCCCTCGTAACCTTCCCAATTCTTCTCGAGAGTAGACTGGATTGTTTTGATAATTCTCATTAGGTCATCTCTATTTGATTTTGGCATGCTTTGGATTGATTTTATCTGGTTTATATAAAACGAATATGTGATTACATGAATGTGATTAAACTCTTTTGTAAAAATGTGAAAATATTGTTATTTGTCCTACAATTTACACTATTTCATGTATATTAAGTTTCTTTGTACGAAAACGACACTAATTATGCAATATATACTCGAATTATATACTATATACACGTGTATAACAATTCATTTACATAAAATGATTTTAGTTATATAAATGTATAGCAAATAACAAAGTCGGTATCATATTAATAACCCGTTGGACCTAGTTCATCATCTAAAATAAGGTTTCATATAGCTTGCATGGATTTATATCATTTTAATCAAGTGAGGTGACAGGTCTTCACACAAACGCGGAAGAGTGGGTGTTGTATACAAAAAATTGGAACTTCTCAAACACCCTAAAAGATAAAGATGGGAAAAACAATGCACCAACACAAAGGTCGTTGTTTAGTTTGTAAAATGTTACCAAGGCCCCTGGGAAACAAATGGAAAAATTATAGTCGTCCACCAAACTTTACATTTAGCATGGTTACCTGGTTTAAGGTTTGATAGAAAGTAACTAAAAAGAGGTAAATTGAAAGTAACCAAAAAAGATAAATTGAACAAAATTTGAGAAATTTAAACTACAGCCTCTCAAAAATTATCAAAATTATATACCTTGTCCTTTTTGCAATGTAAAAGAAAATATAAGACAAAACTACATTATTATGGTGATAATTTTGGGATAATTTTTGCTAAATTATACATGTATAGAATAATTAAAAATATAATTATTAAGACAATAACAATATTTGGTATCTGAATGAGATTTATCAGTATATATGTACAATTACAAGTTAAAAGCATTTAATATTTTGAGTACCTCTTCAGGTGTCCAGTCACGAAATATCGTCTGCAAAAATGCTATCATCTGATAACCAAGTCTCTTGGTGCTGGTTGTCCATAGACTTAATAACTGAATACGCAGTCTATATATAGATGAAATAAATAAGAAGAGGTAAATAAAATACAGACCATTAATTATAATCTACATAAAAAATGTAGCAAATATGAATTTCATATAAAACATGTTTTTGCATCGTCAGAAAAAGTATCACCATAGTTTTTTCTCCAACAATTTAAGAATTTATGAAAAAGCCCAAAAATGACACAGTTACTATATAACAGAAAACAAATCGTCATAAATCGATTGTAAAACAACAATCACTTAACTATATACAGAACTATATTTATTTTTTACGCGGAATAATCTTACCTTAGTGCTGCGTCTATGGCGTCACCACTTGGACCATTAATTAGCAGAATCACTGCTGGAACCATGGCAACCTGGTCTGCGGCATTCTTCACTCGCCATTTGCTAGTGTCTGAGTTGTCAACCAATGTTAATGTATCTCCTTCTTTGAATTCGATCTGAAAAAAACATGAATACATTGCTGACTGTCTGTTGAATGACTTTGTTAACTCGTATTTATTTTAGCAACAATTCCATACTTTTTCATGCGATTATTGAAAAAGAAATAGAAGCAATGTAATATATAGCTTGACTGAGAGATGATATAAAGACGCTCACTTTATTTCTGATGGACACGGGAAATCATTTGAGTCCATTGTGAACAACGCAGCTCCAATTTGTACGGTAAAGGGTATTAAAGGACTTTTGATGAACTCAAGTATATACATGTACATATGTACATTTGTAATATTGGTTAACACGATTTTTAAAGATTTTATGGCATAAACAAGGCGTCCGGCGAGGGTTATATTGCAAGTTACCGTTTATATACGGAGTTATAACCAGTCAAGAACCTTTATGTCGAATTTAGAAAACTGCAAACTTTCTTTTTTCAAGATAAAAATGAAATTATTTCATGAATTAACAACAGCCATGTAAATAATTATACAAACGTCACAATTGCAACGTTACAAACGTGCAATATTATAAATACTATGATAATATTGTAGAATTACCTCGTTAGTTTTATAAGACGTTAATGCTAAAACTGGGCACGGCTCCTTGATGGGTGATGTCCTCTTATGTACAGGAACTATATCTCGTGCGCGCGTGAACAAACTGTCCACTTTACTCTGCCATCTAAGATAGGCGAGAAGAGTGTCCTGAAAGTAGGTCAAAATAAAAAAAAAAATTACCGAGAAAATCAGACATAATAATTATATTTTTTCTTAGGTGTTTTTGTGATTGCGTTTTATTAACTTAGTTTTTTTCTTCCTTTTTTGTTACAAAAAACAGTGCATGCATGTGATTAAAAAAGTGATCAATAAATACATGTATAAATAGTGAGTGATACGGAATATATCTCACTGACAGAAGTTTCATTACATACATATTTACATTGTCAGAAATAAAGATTACCCTCATCTCATTATTAATGGCGGAGACATCAGCACTGTCACCATCTAATCTCTGTTTCGAAAATGTTAGATGCATGCTAGACATTATTGTGTTCATCCAATAATCTACTTCTTCTACGTCATGGAAAAACTGAAAAGAAAAAACGGTTTAAAATTATATTGCATGTACAAAATAAATCAGTAGCGCCCTTTTTCACACGAAATGCATTCTGGTGATTTAATTTCATGTAAATTCATATATCGATTATTAATAACTGTAAAGTGATTAGTAAGTTAGGAAACTACAAATATCTTATGCCTTAGTGGTATCTCATATTCTTGTTTTTGTTTGTCGCACTTCTTTTAGTTTAGTTTAAACATATTTTATTCATAATCATACACAGTACATAATATACAATCATTCAATATATACAATGATGAAATGGATTAGAACGAAAGATATAAAATCTTATATAGTTCTTCTCCGACTCTATTTTGAATTAACAACAAAGTGATGGCATCAATCTACTTAGACAATGTGTATGAATTCATATACATACATTAGATATACATATGTTAGAGAAAAAAAACCTTAAGGATACATACATATTCAGACATATATAATATATTGGGGGAATAAGTTGTAACTATAACGTTATCCTAGCACATTAAGAACTGACTTGCTTTGGCTGGTTCTGGAGAATACAAATTTAATGGTAAAAAAACCGACTGTGATAATGAGTACAAGGTGTTTCAATAAATCATGTTTCGAACCTCTTACTGAGTTTGATATATTTATGAACTGCAGAAAATATAATCTCATTTGCTTCAATTGATTTGGATTCCGTTCCGAACGAGATGATCTCTAATGAAGGAGCTATAATATTTGATACTGTATTAAACAGAATACGTCTTATGTTATCAAACCTTTGACATTCATAAAAATAGTGGTAGGTTGACTCAATTTCACCACACTGACAAAGGGGCGATTGAACAATATTCTTTAAAAATAATGTTGATTGAGAGAGCTGCAATTTCTCCGGAGTCGCGTGTGAAGTATATGATATTTCCTGTCACCGTAATAGAATAAAGAATTGCTTTTGCTACTTCCTTGATTTAGGAGAGACTTAAAGTTGTTTAACGAGTTTGCATTTCTTACATTGAGTGGTAACTCATTCCATTCTTTTAATGTTGAAGGAACAAAAGAATTAGCGTATAGAGAAGTTCTTGTAGGTATAATTTTGAGATTTGTTGAGTTACGAAGATTATACTGACTTGTTTCACCTACTGTATTAGGAACAAGATTACACAGATATTCAGGAGAAATCCCATTTACCATCTTAAAGAACTTCTTTTATTTCATTTTTTCGCTCGCCTCGTTTAATGTAACAACATTAAGGTATTATTACATGTGATATGATCACTTCTTTATTTTTTCTGAGAAAAATGTGCATCGTTCGCTCGTATAAAATTACGACATTAAAATCCCCATACCTCGTGATATGCGGCAGCGTTCGCTAGATGCACGTGCGCACACTGCATAACTTCATCCATCCATCTCCATGACTGTCGAACCCCGCTTACACAGTTCTAGAATATATAATATGCGACAATTTATGTAAAATTTAATATGGGTCTGAAATATATACGACGACGTTATTGTCAAAATCTTTTAATGTTTCAAAAGACACTAAAATAAATGTTTCATCAGTGAGATTGTTTGGTTAATTTGATGAAATTATTTCTGATGTACTCGTATAGTGCTAGTGAATTGTACTGATAATATGTTCACAAAAAGGTTTATTTGATACAGCTAGCAAAACATTTCTCTACTGTATGTTTTTAAACTCTCGCCAATTTTTCATACACTGTACTTATGACATCTACAGTTTTATGTGTAGCATATAAGAAATGATCAGTCCCTGCGACATGACAAACAGTACATGTCAGAAATTAGTCAAGATATTTATCTTCCATTTAAGGGGAGGTAAGTACAGTTACAAGAGTTACCTTTGTTGTTTTTGCCATGCTTTCATTACTTAGTTTAAAACACTCGGCTTTCTTTCTGTTGTTAATTGAAAGGTTAACAAGATGGACTGCCTTGTTGTCAAACTCCGTGCTCAAACCCTGGTCAAAAAAATGGATAAAACGCATTTCAGTTGGTTGTCATATAAGCATGTAAAAACGTACATTACAAAATATATGTGGTTCACAAATTAAAAAACATGATCTATTATATTTGAAAAACTGTCCTAAACGTATATAATTTGTAATTGTAATTCAGATTTGGACATTCAACCAGCATTCTGGAAAGAACAACATGCAGTAGTCTGGAAATAACAACATCATTCTGGCGACAGTAAAACATTAATTTGGCAGTAGTGAACTTAGTCTTATATGGATGGACTTTTTTCGCATGGTATTTTAACAGTTTTGCAATTTGAGTCAAAACATTAAATCAAGTTAACATAATTGTGAAATACCTTACTTTTGTAAGAATAATTTTTCTTACCTGTATCTGGTCTTCTAAATTTGCGATTCCGTTCATAACTTCAAAACAACTTGTTTTCTTATCTGCTAGAGTCTGAAACAATAAAGATCTAACCTTAAATCTAACCAAATTGTAAAACACAATGAAATGTTGCAACATACGAGTGTTTAGAATTATTTTGAATGACGTCATAGAAACTACCATGATAATATCATAATGTGTTGTTGCTTTTTTACAAAGCAGAGTTTTGGGAAAATCTGTTTTTATGTTATAAGTGACATCAGGTACATAGAACTAACACTTTTTGTCATAAGTATGAGAAAGAATAAACAAATAAACAAACAAACAGCCAACATAACAAAGAATAGCTGTTTTCTTAATATCCCTTCTAAAGACAAAATATTGTTAAGTGCACAGCTTTAATATCATCATAATCACCATACACTATAGCAGAAAACTATTAAACCTAACAATCGTTATATAATGAAATAAACATACACCATAAATCACATACTAGACAATATCTAAAACTGTTTTGATTTCAATTTATAAACAATCAACACATTGAATGTGAACATAATATATGGATAACAAAACAATTTTACAAAATGTAGAGTACTAAACAATTAAGTCACTGTATGAACATATAAAAACTTAGTAGAAGTTGACTTTTATCTCTTATCTAATCAGTTAATAGACTGTCTTCACCATCCTAAAATATGTTATATACTTTCAAGTATGTGGTTATTATAGTAATTTGAGAGTGAACTGAAAATACAATTATTTGCTTTAGAAACAATACGAAACAAATTACATTTTGTATGTTGATCAAATATGTAAAATATGTCATGTCATCACTCTAAAATATTCACCCTTAATCAGTTAACGAAAATGCCAGTAGCAAAACAATAAACTGCTTTATTAGGACCTATGTAGTAAATCATCCCTAACATAGATATATACCTATGTTATACGTCATACATACGTATCTCAATAACTTAACCTTCACGTAATGAAATATTCACCTTTGAAACGGTATTCCAAATATCCAGGTAGCATTTATATGGTTTAAACATAAATCAAGTCCTTTTAAATAAATAGTAATTATTTATACATTACGTTTAAACTGTTTTTCATCCTTGATCATTGAATATAATACAGCACGAAATTTAATACATTATGAGGTAAAACGTTACACCATGAGACTTGTAAACGTAACAACGTTTGTATTATAACGTTAACGTCTTTATAAAAAGTGACAAACGACGTTATATAAAGTATGCAAATGTCAAGGATAACTTGTAATGTCGCAATTAAGCGGATATAAATATATTTAGGATTGTACTGCACTGTATAGTGTAACGTTTATATAATTTACTGAAGTTTCCGGAAATGAAAATTTAACTCATCTTAAGTGTATGTAGTGAAGTTTAAACACATTACAAACAGGACAATTCAAATCTGAATATATCAGAGAATTTGTCAGACCAGAGAAATTTTCAAAAAACTTGAAGTGTAAACAGAATGTACATTGAGGATAAGCTACGTCAATTTGTAATGAATTGACAACAAAGCCTGTGAATTAAATGAATTGTATTTTAGAGATATTTCCTCCATAATTAAGAACTCATCAAAGTACCTATATCTTCAGCCTTATGTGCCGCCTGGCATGAAGAAGATAGGTAGTAGGTAGAAAGTACCTATCACATATTCACTGTACATCGTCAAAATTTCATGTAATAATATCATATCTAATGTATTAAGCGTTTCCATATATGTACTAAATTTGAAATAGAGGCACTTTACTAAACTGTTTATTCTAGGTTGTTTTATCCTACATTAAAAAAAAAGGTTTTTTATTACCGATATATCTACACGCAATACATCTGACCTAACGGTACCACCACAATATCACCATACAAGTGATTTATGTCTCTTTTTACATCTTACTTCTATTTAAAGGGACATGACTTCAGATTTATGTCATTATGTGTCAAAATAAAGAACATGGCGTTCAGTATATGATAATATTATCATAAACGAAAATAGATATCAGTTGCTTTATTGTGAAAACATTTTACTTGTATTTTATTAAAGCAATGAATAAGATAAAGTGAAACATTACTATCATGTCTGGTAATATGCCCGAAGCCCCTGTTTCTGACAGGCATGGAGGAAAGACCATTATTAAACATCAGAGAAGGAGAATGAAAGTTGATTATATTAGACATACCTGAACGGTTTGATATGTGCCGTATAGCGCCTGTAGTTCATCATCCGTCAATGTCTACAATATATACATACATTATCAATGTATAGTTTGTCAGTTGTAATATATTGGAAATATTACCGAGATAATTATATCTTTTTTATGATGACTGATTCATAAGACTTTCTAAAGCCATGCAGTTTTATGCTCATAATTTATAAAGCAGCTTCTTAAAACGATCGTTCAGTTACTGGAACATTTTTCTAAACAATATTATTATACACGGGTGTTCTAAATTGGTATGATATTATTAATCAACAATAATTTCAAAAAAATAAAATTAATCTTTATCTGTACCATTCATTTATAAATTTTTTAACTGTACCACCACTTTTTGATATACACGAGAATTTGTCCGACGCAATCCTCAGAGGTTACATCATTAACAATGATATATATGTTAAGAATATAAAAATAATAGAATAAGAAAATTGTAAATACATGTTTGATTTTCAGTTTTTCCATATGTTTGATATATTCTCGAAGTTTTGCTCTGTGATGTGAATGTTGAACGACCCCTTCATTAACAGACTGTTTGTTACATCCAAATCCGGTCTCCTCCAATTCATTCTACAAGTCAAAATATAAATGAGCCGCGTCACGACAAAACCAACGTAATGCGTTTGCGACCAGCATGGATCCAGACCAGCCTGCGCATTCGCGCAGTCTGATCAGGATCCATGCTGTTTGCTTACCAACTCTATTACAAGTAGAGAAACTGATAGCGAACAACATGGATCCTGATCAGACTGCGCGGATGTGCAGGCTGGTCTGGATCCATGCTGGTCGCAAACCCACTATGTTGGTTTTGTCGTGACGCGGCTCAAATTTACTTCATTACAATAGGATAGAGTGACTTCTCCAAACATTCAATCATTGTCTCAGATGGCTTGGACCCTATAAGTTAGCTGAGTAACATACAAGCTCATTGTGGAGAGATGTGGTATAACCTTTAACATGACTAACTATGCTGTGTTGGTGCGACGTAAAACCAAACAAAAATCATAAGAAAAACATTTTTGGAACTTATCATTTACAATTATGTGATATTAGAATGATAATTGAAGGTAAATTATTAGGACCTGGACAGACTGCTGTAAAGAAGTCAACATTACCCCTGGTGTTATTGGCGGGAATTCATCATAAATTCGTGTACATGTAGTGTCATTTTAGAGCATTTTAACAGAAAACCTATGAAACATAGCTATATAAAAAGCTAATAAAGAAATATATTGAGAATCAAATTGAAATTTTGTAACACATAAATGAGAATAACGAAGAACTGAATTTGTCTACAATTCTCTCCCTTCCGCACACTCGAAAATGTTGAAGAGCGGTTATCTCCCTTCCGCACACTAAGTTTATTATAAAATCAGAGTAAACGCCTGATCACTTTCACATTAATATATAAATATTGTTTATTAATAAGAGGAGAAACAAGTTATTTTGGAATAGTACTGATTGTTTTTTATCCAAAGTGATAGATACATTTTCATTAATATTAGAAATAAAGGATATCTTACTTTTTGTTCTAACAGCCAGTCCAAACATTGCTGTACCTCCAAGTCGGCCATCCTTTTCTGCAAAACAACAACAACAAATTATGGTCGAAAATAAGAAACAATTATCTATATTTATATGTTTGTTGTGTTAGGATTATGTATCAGGGGAGGCGTTCATGTCAAAATCATAATAATTTCTCCAAAGATACGAACTTAGTATAACGCTCAATCGTAGCCCAACAAATTGTGCGCTTGGGCTTTTTATTATATAGACGATGGTCACCCTAAAGACCGACACCTATGTAATATCAGTAAAGTCGGTCGATCTTGCAGTTGAAATATTGAGACTAGCTCAATCCGAGCTGAGAAAAGCTAACAGATATTACACTTTAAGTTTGAGTAAGCAATAAACTAAGGGTGTTTATAAAAGCTATCAAAATAATATAAAACTTGGCCAACACAATAATGTATAGCGACAGAGAAAAACGTCCAACCCCTTGTTTTTTGTCAGTAAAGGAAATAAGATTAGAGAAAAACACAGTTATGTCATTTAGATAGGTTAAGAAAAACAATGAACAAATGAATTACATAATACTGAACTGATTTTAATCATTAGAGACAAATAGCCTAATGTTTTAAACAAACATCCGTTAAATCAACGGCGGGTCGAATGTTATATGTCCAAAATGATAAACTACTTTAAAGCATTAAACAAACTTTTACCTCTAGCGACTTTGCTACAACGTATATATCCATTTGTAATGTTATATAAATCAAAATAGATCTGGATTTATCATATATCTGTGCAAAATATGCAACAATCCTTAAATATTGGCGATTATTGTGTTTAAATATAAATCCGGAGCTTTGCGTGGTTAAATTACATAATTTCAGCCTTGTATTTTCAATGTAATTATGCGAAATCCACAGGGGTGACCGCAGTACAGGTTGGTGAATAAAGAGAAAGAATCCTATTGAAGTGCCATACGATAAGATAAATTATATACATGGTAAATACATAACACAGACATATAATGTTTCACAGAGGGAGACACAAAGCGCATGACCCTGTATATACTGTATTATTATATATAATACCATGATATATCAGACGTTTACTGAAAGAATGATTACACTTCAAAACAAAACATGCACTGTATTATACTGTTTATATGCAATTTTGCAAAAAGGAAGTATGCGTCAATACTAATTTTTATTGGTTTTAAGTCACATTAACACTTTTATGGTAAAATGACAACTTTCTTTATTTAGTTTTAAATTAAAATTATTTTATATGTATGTAATAACAATCAGTTGTCTTAGGGAATGGAACAACATCTTCATATCTGCATGACTACATGAATAATATAAGTTAGGATAGTGCGGCAATATTATAACCATATCAAGCTGGGGATTCCCCTTCCTCCCCCCCAACACACCACCATCGCACACATTCAAACAGTTCTATATAAGAAAAGACCTCTTCACTTCTTTTTAATAAAATAAGTCAATTTGGTTTATTTACAACCGCAGCATGCGGAAATATAAGCTACTTTGTAATGCAATCAATTTTGAATTACACATATTGCTTATTTGCTTTTCGATGCCGGTGGCTGAATTATTTTTTGGTATTTTATTTGAAAGTTATAGGGCTTTGGTTTTTAATTATCTGCACGGTACAGAAACTTTAAATGCATGCTTCAGTACAACATGAACTAATAAACGTCAATATTTACATAATAATAATGTGACTGACATTTTTGTCGTTAATATATTCTTTTCATATACATGCATAATTATGAAGAAGAAAAATATTTGTGCAACAGCTAGATATTCCACGTTTAGCAGCCCGAACAATTTATTATTAATACTAAGTTCCCATTTTATTATAATACTAGCAAGCTTAATATAAATCACTTTTTTGACATTCCTCGTATGAATTTTGTTTAGTATTGTAATCTATAATTTATTCAACATACCAAACTGCAGTAATTTGAGCGCAATTCACGTTTGCATGATGAATAAGTAATGTCTTTTTAAGCATCATTTTGAGCGAAATTTTACCGATATCATTACGCCATTTATTACAGATATGCATTAAATTGCGTTAAAAGATAAACATTTTGGTTCGTTAACTTACACTTTTTCAACGGTTAAGCTAAGACTTGTAACATCATTTTAATCCACCGTTGTGTGCAAATAGCTCGACATCTATGCAAATAAAGTAATAAATAAACCCGGCTTATCAGCTGGAGATTTATTGCGCCAATGACCCCTAAGAACCCGATTAAGTTAATAAAAACTTAGCGTTATAATACTGGACACAGTGTCTCCATTTCAGGCAGAGTGTCATAATCTGTAAGTTAATGATCAGTGTCTGAGAATGTAGGGTGATTTATCTTCAAGTTATACGAAATTCATTTTGTCTACATGAACTGTTCGTTACAGTAACTGTTCTTGCTGCATATTTAATAACCTACATCCTATCTACAAGTTACTTAGTTTTGACGTTTTTAAACTTCAGTTTATTAATGAGTATTAGATTAAAGCAAAATATCGTATAATCTTATAATCATTCTTAAGGAACTCTTAAAATAACAAGTTAAGGGCCATTTTGGTTTCCCGCCAAAACAGCAGACAACAAACATGGTTTGTATTGGTCTATCTGACGCCTCGTGGCTTAAAATGTAGAAATTAAGAGTCCTTGTGAAAGCGTAAGAGCCCTTCTATTGATATCATGCATTAAATTTCAAAATTTTTACCCAAGAGAATTTTTTAACTAAAATGTTGAATAACACTTACATATTTATTGTAAAATACAATCTATTATCAGATCAAGTATAATTTAGGAATAAAGAAAAATAGTTTCAATAAAATAACTATATAAAGTTTGTAAAAGTTCATATAGAATAATCAACGCACCAATAAGTTAAGAATAAGTATTCGAGGAAAATAAAGTAAAAAATTTAAAAATTTACCCGATCAAATCCACAATTTTTAAAGGTGCAACTCCTTCAACGCGTTATCAAACACTATCAAATGTAAAAAAAGAACATCCACTTTTAAAAAATCCACATGAAATTGAAATTAATTAATATTTATCAAACACTCAACGGCAGCCTACTGCCTTTCGATCAAGACCTTAAATAATAAATCTTGTGAACTGTTCAAGATAGATTCAAAAATCGTTTTATAACCCCTCCATATGATGTACCTCATTGATAATTTTGTTTGCTACGGTTTGATGTGTTCGTAAATGTAAATAAGGTTGATTTACGAATAAGAAAAAACGCCCACGAGGGCTTATTGAGGTAACATTTACCATAAATGGTGATGTGCACTTTCACCAAATAAATAAGGATTGACTTGAGGATAGAGGAATGCAATGTGTCTCGCATGGTAAACGGTAAAAGGGACCGAGTAAGAGTACACTTTGCATATTTAGCCCCGCCTTTAAATAAAGCACGAATTTCTTATAAAGCGTTATCATCATGATTAAAATAGACTATAAATCTGTGGAAATTATCAGTGTTACTGTATGTAAGTGCATATGCTTAATCCTCCTAATAAATTTATGCATATGTCTAGAAAATGGAAACAGGCTTTAAACTTCAGGACATACAACTGTAGAATAATGGTTTTTCATTCATATGCCTAATAATTTAATCAGCAGATGAACCTATGTTAGGATATCAAGTAAGATTATTATAGGATCATCTGAATGCACTTGTACACAATGTATACTTATGTTCATTAAAGATATATGAGTAATCACATTATAAGAGGACCAAGAGATCATCTGCATGAACATATACTAGTTTTTATAGAAGATGCATGAGAGGTTAATGTAAGATGAGCAGGGAATCATCTAGATGTAAATATACATTAGTAGTGATGGAATATATATGAAGAAGGGTCATCTGGTCTTTAAGGTGTATAAACACTGTAGTTCTTAAAGAACATATGTGAGGGAAATACATATAAACATTTTTATTATGGAAAAGATATAAGGGTAACTCGTAAGATGCCCAGGGGATTATCTAGATGTACATATACTATAGTTTTCATGGAACAGAAATAAGGGGATCACGTAAGATTACAAGATCATCTGGATGTACATAAACTTTTTTTCATTACATATCAGATGTAAGGGGATCAAATAAAATGACAAAGGGATCATCTAGATGTACATATACTATAGTTTTCATTGAACAGAAATAAGGGGATCACGTAAGATGACCAGGTGACATTTAGATGTATATACTCTTTTTCATTCTGGAACATATATGAGGGGATCAAATAAATGACAAGGGGATCATCTATATGTACATAAACTCTTTTTTTTATTATGGAACAGATGTAAGGAGATCATGTAAGAATACAAAGGGAATATCTAGATGTACATATACTATAGTATTCATTGAAAATAAATAAAGGTATCACGTAAGATGATAAGGGGATCACGTAGATGACAAGGGGATCATGTAGATGTACATTTAATATAGTTTTAATTGAACAGAAAGAAAAAAGGGGCTCACTTACGATGACCAGGAGATCATATAGATGTACATACTCTTTTTCATTATGGAACATATATGAGGGGATCGCTTAAATGACAAGGGGATCATGTAGATGTACATATACTATAGACTTCATTGAACAGAAATAAAGGGATCACGTAAGATGACAATGGTATCATCTAGATGTACATATACTATAGTATTCATTGAAAAGAAATAAAGGGATCACGTAAGATGACAATGGTATCATCTAGATGTACATATACTATAGTATTCATTGAACAGAAATGAGGGGATCACGTAAGGTGACAAGGGGATCATCTAGATGTACATATACTAGAGTATTCATTGAAAAAAAATAAGGGGATCACGTAAGGTGACAAGGGGATCATCTACATGTACATATACTACCAGGAGATCATATAGATGTACATACTCTTTTTCATTATGGAACATATATGAGGGGATCGCGTAAAATTACAAGGGGATCATGTAGATGTACATATACTATAGTTTTCATTGAACAGAAATTAGGGGATCACGTAACATTACAAGGGA